ATTGTAAAATACTAATAGAGTAGCATAACAAATTGAAGTTATTCCTGAAATGAGTCAAAGACACTTTATGTACACATCCACCAATGTCCTCCTGTATGTAACAAAAACAAATAGTGTCAGTGTGTGAGCGGGGCTCAGAATTTTATAATGTGACCTCCCCGTATCATTCACTCTCCCTCCTACCCTTTTTTCTTAGAATAAATTATCAGTGCCCTAGACCCCTATTAATTCTTACATCACCCCACCCACTTCAATGAAAATGATAGGTTTCTTCCCTCCTCTCGGATATGTAAGTTGTTAGGGTGCGACTGGACAGGGAAGAGTGAATAAAAAAGAAATGATTGTATTAATTACGAGAGAGACGAAAAAAAAAAAAAAGAATAATAATAATTTATATTTATATTTGGATAGATAGGAAAGAAAAGAAAATAATTGATAGTCATTCAGGTTTGAATCAGATAGAGGAAAGAAAAGAAAGGATAATACAAATTATTATCCTACCCTTTTATAACTGTAAGTGGTTAGCTGGGACTTGAATAGAATAATAAATCTGTATATTTATTTATGAAGGGTAGTTTTGATATTATCAAAATACCATTAAACCGTTTTCTCTTCCGATCTTCTCAATTTTAAAGAGATGGCAAATGAGGGATAGGAAGGAATATCTCTCCCTATCTTTTCTTTTTTCTCCATTTAACCCACCCAAACACACTTGAGCCTTATCCTTTATTTTCTTTTCTCTCCCAATTCCTCCAAATCATCCCATCCAAACACACCATTAGTGCCACACATATTTTTATAGAGAGAGATATATATTTCTCTCTCCACATACCTTATATTTGTTACGAGTAATGATAAACATTGTGCCACTTGACTAGTCCGATGTCTCATATAAAGCAGGTGAACCTTCATTACTTTGGTGAAACACTTAATAGTCGAGTATCGCAAAATTTACAAATTTTCATTGAAGGACTATTGCATTTCACCCTCAACTATTACAATTTACAAAAGAGAGTAATCTTACTTTTGTTGAAGTCATTTTAATATTTATTAAAAATAAAATGTAATTGTGGAGGAAGATGGTATTATGACTTTAATAGAAGTTAATATTTCATTTCTTGATAAAGAAAGATTATATAAAATTGAGTGACTCAAAACTTTATTCTTGGATTGCGAATAACTTTTTCAATCATTAAAGTACTTGATATAGCTATTCAAGAGAACATTTATTTTAACAAAAAAATCAATCTATTGTTTTAATAATAGGAACAACGGTTACAAAACTCAATACTCCATAACAAAAGTAGATGAATCTACACTTTTCATTTCAATATTGTGCCTAGATATTCTCAAATGCATTGAGGAAGACAAATAGTATCCTAACATCAGATTGGGTCAGAATCTAGGCTTATGGCACATATGGTAGTAATTTATTTAGTTTAGGGTACCTTTCAGAAGGCTGACACTATATGTCAAGAATTAGGTGTAACTCTAATATTAATTATAACAGATTTTGACGTTTATTTTCTAATTTAAAATTTTAAATTGTTGGTTAGTGTTATATATTCATCCTTATATGCCTTATTCATTTTTTATTCAAATTTAACGTAAGATGAGCCCTTTAATTTTTTTAAAAGGTAAGAATTAAATAAATAATTTATAACTCTTATTACGAGAAGGCTCTCTCAATAATTGTAATATTATTTTCTCTTTAAACAATTCTTAACCTAAGTTCATGCACATTTGATCCCATAAAATCATTATATATCATTTACAAATGCCTCAAATGCATGTAGGGCTCCAAACCCTAGATTATGTGCCCCATCCGCCTAGTTTCACCATCCTCCATTAACAAACAAATAACAATATAAAAAGTAATCCATCTCTGGCTTATCAATAGACTTAATTAATTAATTAATTAATTAATGTCCAAAGTCCTATGCAAATTGCAAAGTGAGGGAGGGGGGTTTACCATTAATTATTGTTTGTAACTTTTAAGGAGTCCTAAACACCTACTAATTATAATGTCTTTTGTCTTTCTTAAAAGAATTTGAGATAAAAATGTGTGTCCAAAACACTTTATAAATAATAATAATATTATGTAACACTTTATATGTATCAGCATTAATCAATTGGGTCCCTCAGTGGATTGTGGCTTGAAGCTTCATTCACATGGATTGTTTCCATTGTCCGTGGCCCATGTCCTATTGGTGGTTGTTTGTGGCATGATGTAAATGTCTTTGGTGTGTGGGGTTTAGACCACTTGGACATTTTGTTACCTAAAATATATGAACTGGTTGACTCGCGTACATCTTTGACCACACTATCCACGTGGCAACAAAGGACATGCACCGACCCATCATTCAATATGAGAGAGGAAGTACCAATGTTCAATTTTGATCTCACTCTTTCACAAAACTCACTGAGTTGACTCAGTAACATAAGGTTTGAGTTCGGATGGCAAATAAAGGAAATCGAGTTGTTTTAAGGAAGTGGTTCAGTCTATGAACATCACACATTTTTGAGTAATATATATTGATTTGGTATGTCTGCAAGAATAGTTGGTTGAGTTAACTCGTTTGAGTTCCGAGTCGGCGTGTGAGAACCATCATGAACAATAAATTCACCAACTAAGATGGTAATGTACTTTAATGCCCTTTTTGATTTCCTGGTTGTGCTCCAGTAGTACAACTATTCACTTGGTCATGTACCTTTCTCAGGCAGAACAAATTGAACAATATTAGGTAACTGACTCAATCTAATGTCTGCTTTTATGTTAGATCAATATTAATTGTAAACATTCATTCTCTCAAGGCAATAGGTCATTATCTGCACTTTGATCCCACCACAACGCCTCATATGTTTTTGATTAATGTGTCTTCCGGATTATGATTATGTGCAAAGACAACAATTTTAAAGCAATTCATACAATTCTTTTTAATATGTATCGTTTTCATGTTCTAACCACGTTCTGCGTCTCTTTTCAAATTTATAATCATGTGCCAAGACCACGGTTTTAAGTTTCTGAATCCTTGAATTTCAACTACAAATTTTCAAACTCTAAATTTTGCAATAATTGAAAAACTTTTGTCATCCCTAACTTGACCCTAACACTTCACAAGAATCACGAGTGTTCAAGGAAGACAACAACTTTAATATTTGTTTGAATTTCATGACCCGTATATATATATTAACATAAACATGCTTGTATATATACATAATTACATATATATATATATGTGTGTGTGTATGTGTGTGTGTGTGTGTGTGTGTGGGTGTATTGTCATGGGTGATTTGATTCTGAATGGAAAAGAGCAAAAGGGAGTCTGGGAAGTGGGACCTATATGAAGAGAATAACTAAGTTTGTTGGGGCAATTTCAAACTATAGGGCTTTGACTATAATGGGGGATTTGATATTTTAGCATTCTTTTATGGACCCACCGTTTCTATCTTTCTACCAATCTTTGAAAGTTTTGGTCTGCAAAGTTTCCTTTTTTATTCTCTTTCCATTTTTTTTTCAAACATGAGGACACTTTTTTACTTGATTTAACTGTATAGTTGGTATGGCCACTATTTGAATTGGGCTTATTCAAAAATCTCAATCATACTCGATGTAAATCATACTTTCAATTGGATTTCTTGACCACGGAGTGTGTGGACAAAAAGCAAGACATAGAGTGTGTGATAAGACATGGTTAGTTGGTAACCTTTTAATGTGTGGCTAGCTTATAAGTTAACAAGAAGTTAATTCAAAGAAACATCTTAATCATAATTATCTCACATTTTATATAAGTTAAAATAGTTATGAAATTTTCTTGAAATCACTCTTGGGAATTTGTTCGATAATTATTCAGTTCATATAGGACGCGAGAATGATATGATTTCAGTGATGAATTATGGAGTATTCTCGTAAATTTGGACACTATCACCTTTATCAGTAAATAAGTAAATAAAATAAGAATATATATGAGAGAGCTATATGACAACTTATGTGGCTGGCCATTCCGATTTCAAGCAAGTAAACACAAGATTATTTAAGGTTTCGTTTAATTGTAAAAATGGTTATCAATACCTAAAATCAACTGTACCCATTACCAATAAGCTAATCATGACTTCAAAGCAAGGTGCTCCCAAAAATGATATAATATAAATGTAAATTTCAATCCAACTTGATGAACAGATCGTCACATTTTGGGTTGGGTCAATTTGTCTTAATATGTTGAAACTATCTAAATTTGTCTTAATTGGGTTGGGCCAATTTGAATATGGTGAAACTGTCTAAACTCAAAGACACTAATCTCATCCATGCTAGGCCCAATCCATTCTCCACCCAAAGCCTATAAGGGGCTGATGAGCATTTAACATGTTGCAAAAATTGGGACCAACAATTGTTGACAAACTTCTGAATGAAAAAAAACTAAAGGTCAAGCCCAAGAGAAAGGGGCCCAAGCCCAATCATAACTAAGGCTTAGGCCGAAATGTCAGTTTCCAGAAATTGAAGACATTCAAACAAAATTGAATCGCATCAATGAAAAATAATAATATGCATGCTAAGAGAGAAATCTAAAACTATTTAGAGTTAAATATCATATCATTATGTTCTTTATAAATATTATATTATTTTATTTTTATTTTTATCTATATCTTTATCCATTTAATCGCTGCTTGATGTATTTAATAATTGTATTAATTAATTTTGTCAAGCATCAAATCGGTGCATTATAAAGTTAGAAATGGAGAATGATTAGTTTTAAGAGTATCATATTTTTATTTATTTATTTTAAATGAGCTCAAGGCAAAATAGAATGGGTTGAGTCATTCGATTTACATAATTCAATCTACATGCATTCATTTATGGGTTGCTCTAATAATAGGGTAAGCCGAATTATTGTGAGTAATGATGTGATTTATCGATATCTCTGATTGGAATTAGTATTATTAAAAAAAAATTTAAGAGAGGAAAAATAATAATAATAATAATAATTCTATTTGCACTCACTCACTGTGTCGAACACTCGAACCAGAGTCGGGGATTCACTTGCCAAACACATTTTGGCTGCAAGTTTTTACAGCTTTGAACTTACAAACAAAGCAGAGGACGGAGGTCGATACATGTATTCGACGCGTAAGTTCGCAAACCCTAATCTAAGTTTCCTGCTTGAAACCACAATATTGGAATTCAATCTTCTTTTCTGCATTTTCATCAACTGAAATGTTCTTTAATTTCAATTCAGGCACTACAATAAGAGAAACCCTAATTATATATATCACAACTTTGGAGATTTCTTGCAGTTCTATACATGTATCATAGAAGAAAGGTTGTGTTTACTGGGAAAGAGCTAACTTGTAAATCCAGAAGCCCTTTTTGTGCACACCCCTTACCCTGTAGTAGACTTATTGTTTTTTATTCATCATGGTCATCAAGAAATCTTAACTCCAGTTCACAAATCAACACTAATAGAAGTGTCCAATGTATGGATAAAGGTGATTTTGATGATGCTGAACGTGGGTATGTTAGAGTTGAAAAAAAGGGTTATCAGGAATCTAGAAATTCGAATTCATATGATAGAGAAAATTATTATTTCAATAAATCGGATGACGATGTTGAATCAGAAGAAGAAGAAGAAGAAGAAGAAGAGGCTGGGCGTGACAGTGATGATGATTTTAGGGTTTTGAATTCTTTTAGTAGGAATCGCCAACAAAATGAAGACATGAAAAAGCTTGAAGGAGATGATGATGCATTGAGACACCCTTTGGTGAAAGAAACTTGTAGGTTGATCGATCTTCGGTCAGCGTGGACTCCTAAGCGTGAAGGGGAATTGAGGAATTTACTTAGAAGCCTCAAACCTCAGCAAGTTTGTGCTGTCTTGCAGTCTCAGGCTGATGAGCGGCTAGCTTTGAAATTTTTCTACTGGGCTGCCCGGCAATGGCGGTACCGGCATGACCCGATAGTGTACTATGCAATGCTTCAAGTCCTTAGTAAGACTAAGTTGTGTCAGGGTGCTAAGCGGGTGCTTCGTCTTATGAAACGGAGAAGAATTGAGTGCCGGCCTGAAGCTTTTGGTTTTGTGATGGTCTCTTATAGCCGAGCTGGCAATTTGAGGAATGCAATGCGGGTACTGAATTTGATGCAAAAAGCGGGAGTTGAACCTGATTTGTCGATATGTAACACAGCGATTTATGTTTTGGTGAAAGGGAATAGGTTGGAGAAGGCATTGAGGTTCTTGAATCGGATGCAAGTTGTTGGAATTGCACCTAATGTTATCACATATAATTGCTTAATAAAGGGTTATTGTGATGTGCACCGGGTTGAAGATGCAATGGAGCTGATCGCTGAAATGCCATTCAAGGGTTGTTCCCCAGATAAAGTAAGTTACTATACTGTGATGGGTTTTCTTTGCCAGGATAAAAGGATCAAAGAAGTGAGGGAGCTGATGGAGAAGATGTTGAAAGATAGTAATTTGTTACCAGACCAGGTTACTTATAATACTCTTATCCATATGCTCTCCAAGCATGGTCATGGAGATGAGGCACTAGAATTTTTAAGGGAAGCAGAAAGAAGTGGATTCTGCATTGACAAGGTTGGATACAGTGCAATAGTTCATTCATTCTGTCAGGGGAGAAGAATAGAAAGGGCGAAAGAACTTGTTAATGAAATGTTCTCAAAGGGGCACATTCCTGATGTTGTGACTTACACTGTTCTTGTCAATGGGTTTTGTCTTGTAGGGATGGTGGATCAAGCTAAAAAGTTGCTTCAACAGATGTACAAGCATGGATGCAAGCCTAATACTGTATCATATACAGCTTTGTTAAACGGGCTTTGTCGGAATGGGAACTCTTCGGAGGCAAGAGAGATGCTCAACATGAGTGAAGAGGAATGGTGGATCCCCAATGCCATCACATACAGTGTTGTGATGCATGGTCTTCGCAGGGAAGGGAAATTATCTGAGGCCTGTGATATGGTGAGGCAAATGATCAGAAAGGACTTTTTTCCTACCCCAGTTGAAATTAACTTACTGATTCAGTCTCTTTGTTATGAGGGGAGAGTGGGTGATGCCAAGAAATTCATGGAGGAGTGTCTCCATAAGGGGTGTGCTATTAATGTGGTGAATTTTACTACTGTAATTCATGGATTTTGTCGGAAGGATGACTTGGATGCTGCTCTCTCATTGCTTGATGATATGTATTTGAGTAACAAACACCCTGATGTGATTACATATACAACAGTTATAAACGCGTTAGGAAAGAAAGGCAGAATAGAAGAGGCAACTGAACTAACCAAGAAAATGCTACATAGAGGTTTGGTTCCTACCCAAGTTACATACCGCACTATCATCCATTGGTTCTGTCGGCATGATAAGGTGGAAGATTTGTTGAAATTATTAGAGAAGATGCTTTCAAAGCAAGACTGCAGAACAGTATATAATCAGATCATTGAAAAGCTTTGTAGTTTCGGAAACCCTGATGAGGCTTATAAACTCTTAGGGAAGGTTCTGAGAACAGCTTCAAGAATCGATGCAAATACTTGCCACATGCTTATGGAGAGTTATTTGAGGAAAAAGAAACCTCTGTCGTCATATAAGGTTGGTTGTCGAATGTTTGACCGAAATCTAATTCCCGATTTAAAGTTATGTGAGAAGGTGAGTAAGAGGTTGATGTTAGAGGGGAAAGCAGATGAGGCAGATAAGCTTTTGATACAATTTGTAGAGCGTGGGTGTATTTCACCTAAGGATCACCAGGTCTTCAAAGCTAGGGAGGGATTTTCTGGTTGAACTCTAGCAGACACTTTTTTTAATTTTTTTATATTCATCATTCTGCTTTTGGAACCTCATCCTGAACTTATTCGTGGTAAGTTCACCAGCAGACATGTTGGAAGGAACATGAGAGGCGACTGATAAGCTTATGTTTTGGTTTCTGGAGCTTGTTTCATCATCGGATGTTGGAAATATATCTCAATGAGAGTCATTCATGGTAAGACCATCTTGCTTCATCCTTGTTCAACTTTCAAAAAATCATGTTCATATTTCATTTTTGCTGTTTCTTTTCAATTTATATTTTCGAGTCGGAATGTTTTGATCTGTAGAAAAATCCTTCTGTTGCTGTTTAACTTTCAAGCTTTAGGAAGTTTGGATGTCCCATGGAAAATGATTTGTCTCAAGAACCATTGCATTTCAGGTTGAACTTTTTGAAGTGAGTTCATCAAATTTGAGTAGTCATTAAAGGCATCAATTCTAGTTTGCTTTTTGAACACGCGGAATTTCATTCTGCTATGCCTTCAATGGTGATTTTGAAATGTCACTTATCTCTTGATTCTTTTTGAAGCTAGTTCTCAGCAGTGACTTAATAGTTTGTATATATCTGCTTATTTGTATTTTCAAACTTAGGATGTGTGATCTCTCATTGTTTTGATCGACCCAAAAGTCAATTAGTTCTTCTTTTGATTTGTTTAGTTGCCAGTGTGCTGGAATTGCATCCCCCTTGCTGTTCTGCCTAAGAAGCTCAGTTGTCACTTATCAGCATACAGCTTTATGCATTATCTTTGGTCACTCAAGCAATGCACTGGATCACTTATTTTATGGTTTTCATCACTTTCTCCTTTCCAGTGGCAATTCTTGAGCAGGGTAGAAAACAGACATAGAAAATAGTTCGCCAATCAATACTCAATAGTTGAAGAATATTTTGCTGTATATTCTATTTTTTATGTCCTTCATTAATATCTTTTGCATTAAAGTGTTTTAAACTGACTTGATTTCGGATACGTGCGAGTGAAACTTTTGTAATTATATGATTTCATGAGTAGAGCTTCTGTATGACATGTACAATTTAAATTGGTTTTGATATTGCTTCATTTGTTCTACATTTCTAATTTGAATTCTTCTGTTTGAGCTATAGCGTTGCTTGGGGCGATTCTGAAAGGGACAGATGGTGGTCCGGAGGATCATCACAGGGGGAATTAAAATCTTGTGGAAATTTATACACAATTTCTTCACATAATTCAGAACTAATTGAATAAAAAATTATTCTTCATGTGATTGAGACTTTTAAAGGGCATGGACCAATTTGTTGACAGTATGCATCATATGGCTGTGATGAGAAATTTCAATTTCAGTGCTACCGCCGGCTCTCTGCTCCTTCCTTCCCAAACAAAGTATCCGACTCTCCATCGTAATTCAAGCATATTCAGAATTCCCATTGTGAAACTATGATGGCAATGTCTGCTTTGTTGTTAATTAACACAATCTGTGAAGTCAAAAGGAAAAAAGAAAAGATTAGGCGGAAAAGATGTTATGGTTATGAGAAACGATGGGGCTTTGAGTTGCTTTTGCTTTTACATTGAATAAATAAGGACGACATTTTCTGTTGGAAGACACCATATGGAAACTTCTACCATGTCTGAGGTATCCACTGCCGAAGATGCTACTGTTGTTTAATACAATTACTCTAATCCCATTACAAATCATGTTTGCAGCTAATGTATCAGCCAAATCACTTAGGGTGCCTTCTGAACATATTGTCAAGATCAAGCCCTTACATGTGTTTTGTATAACAATTGCAATTAATTATGTTTGATCGTACTATGTTTTCAGTATCTTCATGGGTATAGCCCCAATAGATGCCAAAGATGAGTGTTCTGATAAGTTCATGGAAAAAACCAAAGCATTGATCTCGTGTCTGCCATTTGTTTACTTACACCTAACATAAACTAGAAGCAAGTTTTGGATGGCAAGGCCACCTTTTTTCTTAATTTGCAAACTTGAGGGGTAACTGGATCACACTCTTCCTAAATTGTATCTACTTATCTTTATTGCAAACATGAGGAGGGTGTGAGTGTAAATCACCTAAATTTTATTATGTCCTTTTATAAATTTATACCTTTTATTTTTATTTCAATATAAATAACTGTTTTTTATATTTGAAACGAATAGCTGAGTTTGTCGTAATAGTTATAGGTAATATTAGAGAGAGAGGGAGGGCTAGAGCGAGAGTACCATTTCTTGGTAACCACTCCACTTCTTTTGGGTGCAAATCCTCTGAAGTGAATTGCGGTGTGGTCTCCTATGGTGCAGCCTTAAAGGCGCGTTTGGCTTGACATCAAAACAGATTAAGTCAAACAGTGTCAACCCTAGTTACATGTATTTAATACTATATACCCGGGTTAACCCCATCTGTATTATAGTACACACTCCAAGTTAAAATATATACTATAAACCTCCAAATTCTCTCACACGCTATCCTGCAGCACCAAAGTACCAGAAACAAAATTTTGATTAAGGTTTCATCTTCAAAGATCTGTGTGAGTTGGGGTTTCTTAAGCCAAGAAGATGTTGTCTAGGTATGCTTCAAGAGAACAATATCAACTCTCACTCCAAGCCCTAACTCTAACTCTAACTCGATAGCAGGAGATTTCAAAAACAATCACAAATCAAGCCCTAAATCCCTCGAAACAGAGTGAATCAAAAAAGCGTGGGCAAGACCCGATACCAGCTGATGAACAATTTATTATGTTCATTAAAAGGGTAAGAAATATAAATTTTTAAATTGTTTTTACCATTACAATATCTATAATATTGTAGTACTGTAATTTAAAACTTTGTAATTTAAGATAATATTTAATTTAAAACTTCTATAATAGTCCACTTTTCTTCTTTCCGCTCTTCCTCTCTTCCTATTTTCTTTCTTAATGCTCTTCCTCTCTTCCTATTTTCTTTCCACACAGAGTGACCGAACAAAAGAGTTGGCAACAGCGGAAACTGGCTCAAAGACGCAAGCTTTAACTAAATAGGCCTGCCCGAGCATCAAGAATATAGGCCTAAAAAGTGTGACTAAAAATGACTAGCCAACAGTTGTAAAGTTGCAAACCAATTTGCTGTTCCTGCAATCAATGTCAAGCAATGCATCAATTTATGAGGAATGCTGTTTCTCAACTCTAGGCATCTTAACTAATTGGCTCCTTGCATTCAGCTACATCTTTTTTTCCCCCTTAATGAACAATCACCAAGTGTTGCATCTGCTAAATGTCACCAAGGGTTACAATTACTCCACAATATGAGTGTTTGTTTTCACAATAATTATTTGAAGACAAAAATTGTAATAATTAAAAGAATATTTAATGAATTAGATGTGGAATATTGTTCGCCACCTTAGAAGTAACACTATAAGAAAATTGAACAAAACTTTCATACACTTCTGATCACTTTGGAAACTCCTGATGTCTTCTTCACTTCGTTCTCTTAATGACCCTGTGAGTAAGATCTACGAGTGCGCGCCTTGATTTTCGAACATCCTCATCATCGGTCTCAGGAAGCGAATCAATTGCAGATGAAGCAAGGTTGGCGTGCTTTGTGGCCAATTCTCTCGTTCTCTGTATTCCACGACTCTTTCCAAGGTAGTCAAGAGCCTATATTTCCCAGTTATAGGTCAGTTTTCATTGATTAAATTTAACAGGATGATTTACGATGATCTTGTAGAAGATTGCATGGCAAAAAAACATAGTTTCATGACTAGGTCCCATTAATGATCTCAAATGGAAAATCAAGTTTCCGCACATGCAAATATGAGACTAAATCACCTGCCTACTCAGCTTTCAATAAGGAAACAAACTTGGATAAACAATACAAATCACTGTTGATTCGAGTGTGCTTTTGTGCGGACTTCTACATCTTGAAGCACATGAACGGCTCAACACTTGATTTTAGTCCCATGGAAAATTCCATGGAATCAATTGTCAGGATATGTTTTCTGCATCTACGTACAAGTAGACATTTCAGTAGCTCATTACATTTCAAATCCTACCCCTTAGGAAGGGAAAAAAAATTAAAAAATTATCCGACTAGATTTGATAGGCACTGGGAGCAAATCAGAAGTCAGAACTAATAAATGAATTCGGCTAATATGACAATTTCATTATTTCCTGGACACTAGACAGGCTAATATGGTAATAATTCAATATTTATTTAAATTGCATGGGCATGATTTAGTGATCCTGCTAAGAAGGTGGACTTGGGTTGAAGGCATTCATTCTGTAAATCAACCCAAAATCTAAGAAAGAAAACTAATTAATAAATAAATAAAACAAAAATCTTGAAATGAGAGTGAACTAGAATCAGATTCACATCCAAGCCTAGTAGAAATGGGAAGTCTCCTAAATCACTTCCTATGGACTCATTGAGAATGCTTCTGATTTATTTCATGGCCGATTCTTTCAAAGGGGGATGAAGGCCTTCAAAATACTATAATATTACACCAGTACACTGCTGAAATTGATTTATGTCAAAACGAACAGAAGCTGACATAGGAATAAAAAAATTAAATAAATAAACAAGTTGAACTTTCAGAAATAAAAAAAGATATCAAAATTTGCTAAATTTTGTCAAATTTTAAAACCCTTACAACTGAACTAATGTTAAAGCCCTTTCTCCTGGCAATCTATAATCAGATGGATAAATCCAAACTTACCATATTTTAATGAAATCTTGGGTCAACTTTTAAATATTTTTATATACACAAGATGTAACATCATCCAATTTTAGCAGGCATGCAATGTAAGAAAGTCAAGTGCTCAAGCACACATGGATTTGAAGGGAGATTCACATAAAGTACAATATGTGAACTGAACATAGAACTTACAAGATCCACATCCGCTGGGCTGTCAAATCCCCGGTCAACAATTGCACGCAACTGAGGGAACTCCTCTATGGCAAATAATATCGGAGCCGTTACGATTCCCTAAAAATAATTCAATTTTCTCAATATGTAATAATGAAAAACCAGGAGTATTCATCATTTAAACAGGCTATCTATGCAGGCTATCAATAAAAAGGAACCTAACCATGATTAAAAGATGCAATCATATGTAGAAGTGTTGAACTTGACAACAGAAAAATAGGTGCATGAGGAAATCGAAGTGTTGAACATAACACAGATAAAATAGGTGCATGAGGAAATTTTAGTGTTGAACATGACAACAGAAAAAACAGGAGCATGAGGAAATCTATGGGCAAGAGAAACTTGAAAGGATTACTTCGATAGTTAAGTCAAAAGATACTACTCATAGCATAACATCATAAGGTCTCTTTGAACACCAATAAATAATTATTATCAAATATGAAACAAAAACTTATAATGAATACAGCAATAAGCAAAATACGCATTCACGGGCACATTTTAGAAGGCATGAAAAACAGGCATGATCCTATATACCCAACTAATGTCAACAGTCTCATCTGAGCATCTTTCACATGATAAAGATAGAGTTGCTGTATGAAATTTTTAATATTTGTCAAATCCTATTTCAGGGGTTGTTCTATGTTCACACACACACACACACACACACACACACATATAGAAAGAACTTCCTTAATAAAAGTTGCCTGGATGAATTAAATTGTAGATTCATGTAAAAGGGAAACTTAATCGAGAAGTTTCCAGACAAGGCATATAGTCCATCCTTTTTTACTTTGAGACAACTAAGATTAAAATTATAATACAACAATAATACAAAGAGGAAAAGAAGAATTACATGGCGGATGTCAGATAAAGAACCCTTTCCAAGGGAAGCTGATGTGCCTGTGAAATCAAGAACATCGTCTATTAATTGAAATGCCAGTCCCTGTGAGAGAGAGAAGGAAGACCAGTCACTCTATAGACAAATATAAAGGTTAAAGACAAATATATAGCTCAATGCAAATTCACTCATACGACAAAATGCTGGAATCACCGTCTTATAGAGTATAATATTAGCAAATAAAAATTATTCCTAGTTTATTTAGGTAGCTTTTTTCAGATGTATATGTAAAAGACCAAGAACCATTCAGCTTATCTTATTATTGAGCATAAAATAGATAAGAGGCACAGATATCTGATAATTCATTAGGAAACTAAATTTAACTTCTCATCAATCTATCAAATGTCTGTAAGGTGGATGCAGCTCACAACCCAAAAAATTCTACATTCCAAGCTTGATCTCTATAATAAGCAACAGAGAAGATACATTGGAGGGATTTACGGACCAGATTTTTGCCATACTCATAAGCCAACATTGATACTTCTGCAGTTTGCCCAGCTAGAAGGGCAATTGCTTTGCAGCTGTTTGAAATCAATGATGCAGTCTTGTAATATGTCTTTTGCAAATAATATTCCATGCTGCAATCATAAACAATTGGTCTCAGATACCTTACTGCAAGAATGGCCTTGAAATGCAAGCCAAATCATCATAAAATAACAATTAATGAACCAACAGAAAAGATATTCAGAAAATATAAACATGACAGTGCTGGAGATGCCTCATGGGTCGCCTAGACAACTGCAAGCACTCATTTGCATACACTGTACCTGTATAGAATTTTTTGTTCCTTTATGTACTAGAAGTTTATTAAAAATTAAGCTTTTCATGCAATTTGTGCAGAGAACATCAATTAAATTATTCCACAAAATTTGAGTTTTCTTTTTTCCTTTCAAATTTCTGAATTGTTACTTGAATTTTGGCATCTTGAAAACTCTAGGAAACCTAGGGATTGCTTGGTTTGTAACTTTGAAAACAGTTCTCAAGAATTCAGAGAACAAAAAAAGTTTTCAGAGAACAATAAAAGACAATTCTCTGAAAACAGGCCTTTTTATAACTGAGTTTTCAGAAAACTGAACCAAACTGAGTTTTTTGTATAGTTTTCTGTTTTCAGTTCTTAGAGTTACAAACAAAGCAGGCCCCTAGTTTATTGAAATTTCTAACCAATTCTGCCACCCAGTCAACTGCAAACATTCATTTTCTTAAGCTATAGCCTCTTACCGAAGTAAAATAGGATTCATATGATACATGTATAGGAATTTTTTGTTCCTTTATTTATTAGTAGTTTATAACACACTGTTTTTTACTCAATTTTCTTTTTCCTCTGCTTTTCAAGCAAATCGCAATTTTCTTTTTCCTATTTTGTTGCCTATTAAATTTTGAATTGTTGCAGAAATTTTGACAGCCTAAGAACTCCAGGAAGCCCACTTCCCTGAAATTTAACCAATTCTCCCAACCTTTATCCAAAATAATAACAGGTTAATAAAGAATTTACATTGTTCAGATCCTCAACAATTGTCCCAACATTTCTTTTACTTTACTCAAATGTTATGTTTGAAATTTTGATTCACAATATTATCATAGGCCTTTAGTTATATAGCTGACTCCATCAGAACAGTATTATCTTTGAAGGCCTATTTGGCATAGGAACCTCAGGAAGATTACATGGAGATCAATCTAGTAACCATAGACTTAAAAGGAATCTTCCCAAGAATGTTTACTTTTACAGAAAATTTCAAAAGTTCTACAAATGAAATTCAAGGCTTATAATGTTTCTATGTTAGAGTGGTTAGTTATGAAAAGTAACTTTGTGCTTTCAGAATTCTATAAGGCCTACAAATTGGCCTCTTTGTTAAAAAACGAGGGACATATGACATGGGTAAAAAATATAATTATTTGACACTTCCATCTTTCCCTCCCTCCCCCCATTCTTACATTCTCCCTTTTCTCCCTCTCCTCCTATAAACCAGATAGATGTTTGGAAGACCACCCTCCCTCCTGTCTCTTGACTCTCTTCCTCTCGCTCTTCCACTCCTTTCTCTCTTTGCATGCTCTAATAAAAAAATTATTTGTCCACCGCATGTTTGAAATAAATTATAGGTCAATAATTTCAAAACAGTTTGAACTACTCAACCCTAACTATATCCTAATATCACCAAGTTGAGATTCAAACTAAGTCCCATAACTAACTTATAACTGGGAAAAAAAAAATCAACAAGCCAATGCAAAAAGTTGAGGTAATTAGCAGGATACGTCCATCAGATCGAAACTGGCAGTAATACCACAATCATGTGTAGCAACTGTGACTAGTTGCCCACAACAAAATATAGAAACAAATGGTCTTTTGAGTCAACCAAATCGTCATCTTGTATGTGTTATGAGTTTCTGGACGCTATCCCAATTTTATGAATAAGCAAATATGAGCAAAAATGTCTTTCATGTTAATATTTTTTTTTTTTGGAAAAAAAAAAAAAAAAAAAAATTATTATTATTTTTTTTTTTGATAAGTAAAATATTTGTATATATTCTGCACCTTAGAGGGATCGAACCATAGACCTCTAGTTGAATTGGCTAAAGACTTAGCCATCTTTACTGGGCTGCTCCTTGTATTATTATTAACAGCTAGGTGGGTTGATTTCGAGGATTGAGCTGTTTTAGGCTCAATCTATAAATATTTGTGCGTACATGGATTGTGCCATTTATGTCTTCCCTAAATAATATTTTACATATAAAAGAAGAAAATCAAAATGAATATTCCATTGAATGTTCTAATAGTTGAATGTACACATTTTCATGCTAAATTTCAAATAAATATTACATTTTCCCTTTAGAACTTTCCACATTCATACCGCCACAGGACATAACTTAGTCATTGAAATTTATTTAAATTTTCCATATAATATATTAAAAGAAATTTGTCTGATAAATAAAAAAATTCCATAGTTCCCAAAATTGCAAAAGATAATCAATCAATATTTCTTTTACCACGATATCAACATTAAATGCCGAGCAAGCACTTACTTCCGTCTCACTTACTTTCACTCTCCTTGAGACTACTGTTCCCATCAAAATTTATCACCAAACCTGGTCTATGCCAAAGGTTAAGAAGAAATTCTATTTTTATTTTATAACTCAAGAGTTAAGAAGAAACTGATGCAACCTAAAGGACCATACCTAAATGAATCTTCAAAACCAACAAAAGGATTACATGGCACCAAGGGATAAATATAGTAGTTCTGAGTCCTTTGAAAGGTCTGAAAGGGATACTTCGACAGTTTTGATTGTCATTTTAGAAAGATTTACTCGTTTCTTGACCGACCTACCATTAAGGTTCAAGTTATTTATTTCTTGAACAACCTTATTTCTAGAATTTAAGGTGCTTCTATAAACAGAAATTAAGATTTACTTGGTTACTACCATGAGTTTGATATCTCTTTCTTCCTTCCTTCCTTCCTGCCTATGATGATTTGATGTGCTTTGAACACAAAATCTAAATCATCGAGGAAATTTTCATTCATCTCTTTCCTTATTTTTCTTCCTCAATTCCAATAAAAGGAGCCATCTTATTTCTAATACCAAGCCATACCAAAAGTTCAAAAAAAAAAAAAGTAATGTTGTTTTAGCGGGTCATATGCACAAAAATAAAAATGAAACATTTCAACAGAGAAAAATATTTAAGATGCCATATTCAAATCCTTTAACTAGCTAAAAAAGATTTCATACCAATAAAACATTACAATTAGTTCCAAAAAGTTTTGGCAATTATAAGAACATGGAACCACGTAAATAATCACAAGAGGATCACTCAATAACCATGGAAACATTTGAAAATTTCAATAAAGTTGATTAGTTGGAAAAAAAAAAGAGGAGAAATATTTTAGGACATATATTACATTAGAGCCCTGACATTTTCCAAGCCCCTGCCTTTAGGATAAAAACACCTTACATATTAGGTATTATGCTTATTGTTTCTCACTTCTTCTTTTTTTCTTTTTTGCAACATAAAATAATAAGAAAATAGCATTTGGCATCTTTAGCAATGAACTTGGTTGTGGACAGTACCCAAAATGAAATTTAGACGGTCAACACTGTAATCTTCACGTGGACTATCCTAACCATGGCGTTACATAGGGTGAGACATATTTTTTTATGCTACTCCTTCAAACATTTCATAGAATTACTTGTTTATCCTGGTTCAGCATTTTGTGGATTATTCCACTCAATGTCAATGTTATTCTATTTTCATGATACCATTTTTTTTTAAAGATTGTTTTCATGATACCGTTGTATGCAAGTAAAGGATACTTGCAGGCCCATTTTTGAGGCAGTTAGGAAAAAATAAAGAATGATGGTCACAAATGACAACCATCTAATTAATTAATATTCATTTGCAACACTCAAATGACAATGGAGCATTGGCATTAGCAGATGGTGTCTCCAACTCCCATATTGCCAAGCTACTTGTATCATCTGGGAAGTATCTAAAAATCTATACAATTAACTCAAAGGCCTCAGAAGAGGAAAAAGATAGTAAGAACAGAGCCGAAGTCAAATAGCCTTTTCACTGGAAATTGTTCTGTGATTTCCCATGGCAATTTGGATGTCTAATCTAACAAATAATGGAACAAGAAGCACATAGAAGATATGGAGCATCTTACCTACAACGTTGTGCAGATGTACTAGTCATTTGCATGGTTTCACCTGTAACAAGATGCTCTACAACTGTTGCTAGTAATGATACAACCTGCAGAAGAACAGTAATGTTGCAGACAGTTAACTATTAATATTTATGTAAAATGCAAGTTGTGAATAATCTTTTAAACCAGTTTCTTAAAGGCCACTCCCAACCCCAAAAAAGAATAATATTGATAAAAAATATAAAGTGGCATACGAAATTAAAGACAACCTAGACTTAATGCTGCAAGCGTATGGATGGTGAAGGAACAGATTTGAGATGTACTTGGTCATAGTAGTACCATTACCATGGAAATTCATGTCACTCTAGCTGCAAAGCACATACTTATTGAAATAGACCTTCTGCTGCCAGTTGTATCATGTACAACCAAAGGTACAAAACAGGAAGTGCAATAGAAACATGCCCTACCATAGATAATACAGTAGGTTACCAAAACATGGTGTCGTGTAAAAGAAAATATTACATGTGAGATTTTGGGCTAAAATCTAGATATTCACTCTGTAAGGCAATGCAAATACAGAAGAAGCTGGTGAATCAAAGATTGCAACTGTACACCCTAAAAATAAAAGAAAAGAATTATTACAAACCTCTGTGTTCTTTAAAGATGCAAGTGCCACACAAGCTCTAGAAAGCAGGAAATCTCCAGCCAATACGGATAACTGCATTATGACAAAGAAGAAAAACCTTAGGCCACAAAATTTTCATGATTTGGTTTATCATAAACCTTAATACATAGTACAAGTTATTTTAATTAAAGAAATAAGGAAGCTGAAATAATTAAGAACTCTCTAAGATATAACATTAAATGTCTTCAACAATACCAGCCTATGCAGTCTAACACAGCACATTTTGGGTTGGAGGGGGTATAATAGAGGTAAAAAACTCATTAAGGCCCAGCAAAGTGTATCTCAACTATCAAGGTATCAAACAATTAAAACTGTGATAATTGTAAGAAGAAGTACAAAAAACTGACAGTCAATTTTTGCCATGAAGGAGACCTAACATTCTAGGTGAAGCCCACCAAAGGAAACAACCCCTCCTGACAGGTAAATTATGTGTTTTGATTATTGTAAGAAAGTATCTTGTATGTAAAATTACATTGAGTGCCAATTAGTGGTATTATTTGTCATTTGATTCTAAGCATTTATGTGATTTTTTTTTTTTTTAAAAAAAAAAAAGAAAGATAAATTTTTGCCGTATAGTAAGAAATCCCATAACAAAATTTAAACACCTGTTAAAAAAATAAATAAATAGGAAAAAAAAAACTATATTGTATCACTGGAATTTTATCTTCTAAAATCGCAGATCAATGGAACATGAAATGTACAATCAATCAAAGAATTTCTAATGCAGGGGATGTCAATTTTTAGGATTTAACGAATCTTGTGATAACAAATAGACACCCTAAGAAACCTTAGAAAAAACTCAGACAAACAAACGAGTACAGATTCAATAAACATTATTCATAAGCCAATGAACCAAGATAATAAGAATATATATGTATGATACCTTATTCCCCATGACAGCGTTTAGTGAACCAATGCCGCGTCTTGTATCTGCATCATCCAATACATCATCATGAAGAAGGCTAGCCACCTAAGACAAAGCAGCAGAAAATTAGTCTTGAAGCATTAAAAAAAATGTCTCAACTTCAAATGAGGAACTGTGTACTAAATGAGTTTAAGCATCGGTGAAAAAGGGAGAAGGTCCCTTTCTATCAGTAGAATTCATTAAATGTGACAAAAGGGGAGACAAACAAGTACATGAAGTACAAAAGAGAACAAAACATAGAAAGTGCTAAATCCATAATGAATGGGAGTGGGTGCTAATATTCAAACGTAACCCTATTATATTAGCAAGGGCATTTCATTTCTACAAGCTGACCATATCACAAAGGTGTTCCATGCATGTCAATTTGCTAATTGCCAACAATTCCACTCACATGAGTAGTACTTGTGCTGTTGTGCATAACCTTCAAACTTTAAGCACCATATGGGAGAACTGCGTTTACATTTTAGGGTAAATTGGTTCAAAGCAGATTAGAAACTAATACAAGAGAGTTTGGAACAGAACTAGGGCCTTTACTTGCTGCTTAGCAGTTAAAATCATGATCATTTTTTAATCCAGTGAGTCAGCGTTTTGATGACCAAAAAGAGAGGGAAAAAAATAAAAATAAAAATAAAAATAAAAAAGAAGAAGAAGAAGAAGAAGAATATTGTTCAAGACTAAGAGACAAATATGAAAAATGAAGACACAGGCAAGAAATTAATCAGTTTCATCAAAGTAAGTTTTGAAGCTGCATTCAGACTTGAACCCTGATTATGTCACCCTCGCATCAACACTAATTTCAACTCAATTAAAATCTATGAGGATCCCAAGAACACAAGAAATAAAGAACTTCTTCACTGCTATGGTGGCATAAACTTTTTACTTCTTCATTCTCTGGTAGATGTAAAACACTAACCATAATTGACCATACTGCTACTGCAATAGCCAATCACTAAAACAGAACTTAATTGCTAAAATACTACTACTATTGACAAGAGAATGAACTAAGCACATCACAACCCCTATCATTTTATTCATGTGCAAATACCATATCAAGTAAATCCAATTCGCCCACTATCATTGACATGCATTCATTGTCTATTCCTTACTTCGAACAATTCAACCTTGCAGAAAATACAAGGGTCCCCACAATAAAAGAGTGCAAACTTCAATTTAATTATATAATTGTGCATCATTTATATTCAGAACTTAGGGATTAAGATGTTTCTTATTCAATAATTTGTAGTTTAATTGTTAATCAGAATTATATGAATCGAGTTTCTAAATTGTAAAACACATAGGAAAATTGAGTAGGAAGCTCATGGCTTGAGCAAATTCCTATAGGAAAACCATTTTCCTAGTGGTTCTCAATAGTTATGATGAGTTTGAGGACTCCTATTTAGTTGCAGAGAACTCACAACTGTGAATCATTGGCCCTATATGATTGTTTCAACACCTTCTCATGCCTAAGTCTAATGGGAGATATCATGATTATGTTAACAGGTTGTTGGATAACTGGAGCAGGAGGACTGGAAAGAAAAAGATGGGCCACGCCCATGCCCTTCTTAATATATTTGTACATCACATTAAGATGTTGCATTTCTCCCTAAATCAATCCAGGAGGTAATAACTTTTATGGGCCAAAAGAGATGCACTTTCTTTCCCAATCTCCTCCATTTCTGTTCTTTTCTCTCATCATTGAATAAACCAAACTATGGAGGAAGTTGCAAAGTAGCTAAGAGGTTTGACGTCTGACTGTTACTGTAGCTTTGCTTTGACTTAGCTTTTCTTCTTTAATTAGTATGAGCAAAGCTGATATTAACTTGCTTACTGTTTTTCCTCGTCAAATGGTGCTAATTTCAAGGATTTTCAAACCTGGATTGATTAACATGATTTCTTTCTATAGTTCTCATTTTAAGATTCCCTCCTTGAAACACTACTTTAGCCATAACCTTCAAGACTCGGAATCATCTCCTGCCTTTGCGGGACTAACAATTTCACAATACAGCAAGAGGAAGACCAAGTAGAACGACAGGATCAGATAAAAATATGAACTCGCATGCAATAATTGACTAGCTTTCCTAAAGCATTCCCTCTTGAACATCCAATTAAGCACTATCCTATAATACTCCCTTGAGCCATGCAGAATTTACTAAACAAGGACAAGTGGAGGATGTGGGATCCATCCTATAAAATAAGTGGCAATACTAAAATTTACTTTCAAATGCAAGAATTGTGAATATGACTCAACAGCATGCACTAAAGGGAACAAAAATCCAGGTAAAACTGACATGGATCATCTCTGTAATCTCAGCAATACACTGCTGCCTTGTACGTAATTCTGTTGATAAAGTGTCAACAACCCCATCAGGAGCTGGCCCAGGAATATGTACATTCAAAGCTGTTGCCATCAACAATAGAACCTGCACAGAAAATCTGTCATATGGTAATCATAACAGGTAGGACGGGTATTGGATAGAGTAAATACAGTAACATTTCCTGTAATAAAATAAAATGTAAAAAGTTAGCATCCATCATTAACCCAGACCACAAATACAAAGGATATGATGGAAATAGGGTCAAAATTAATTGGATACAAATCCTAAACATTCTATTAGACAAATAAAGACATAACCAAAAGCGTACAAGAGTTTTTTTTTGTGCGTGCGTGTGTGTGTCCTTGCAACCATGAACCATCTCAGTAAACAATTCTTCTTTCAATGAGATATACACCATGGCATAAAGGACCATATATAACTTAAAATAACCAGTTTGAATGTCAATCCACAAATATTGTTCTTCATGTGACCTTATATCACAGTGAAGTAACAAAGGATTCATTTTTCATTACACCTTCAGGAAAGTTGGAAAGAAACTGTTGATCCCTAAGGAAGACACACCAAATTTATACTGTTCTAAACTAGGGAAGCAAGTTAATGCATCCTTAAAAATAATAATAGCAATTTTCATGGTTGAAACCTTTGAATCAGCATTGATAAATCTTACCGTAGGTCGAAACCTCTTCCCTTCCACCCCCATCTTGAAGAAGTACTCGGCAGCTGAAGCAAGTTTTGGGACCTGTATGAAATTAAATCCCAGAATTATCATAAATGGTCATATACAGTATTCTCCCTACCAAGCATTCATGCTCCATAATAAATTCCTTTGACGATCAGAAGAAAAGGAAAAATGACTTTCAGATACCTCAGCAACTACCATTGCCCGCAATCTATTGGCAAGAATTGATAGTTCATCGGCAACAAGGGAAAATGGGTCCAGATGCTCCTGAAAAGAAAAGGAAAACAAAAGAACAGATGTAGGAAAAGAAATAAAATCAGATATCTCTGTGATGAGGATAAAGTGAGAAAATATTTTTAAATAACAATAAGAAAAAATAAAAAAAATAAACAAATAAAAGTGATCCTATTTAGAACTACAGGTCCCAGTTCTGTAAGCAATAGTAGACAGTGAGGAAGTTAAACTGGCAGCAGAAGAGCAAACAGGGTTAATAAGAGGACACAGTTAACATTAAACTTGAACCATTTTACTTTTTTCCCCGGAAGTTAAAGCAAACACACAGACCCATTACCCACAACATGCCCCTAATGGGGCTCAAACTCTCAACCTTCCCTTTGGAGAGGAGAGATCATTCCATCCAGGCTAGAGGCCCGGTGGTTTTTTACTTTTGTCTTCCATCCATGAAGATACACTATCCCATACATAAATTACTCTTTGAGAAGCTAATCGCATGATACGATTACTGGATTCGGCCTTTGAATGAAAATAGTTGAAAAATGTCATACATATTTAGCTCTTGTTTCAGAATTTAATCAGCCTTGTAATGAATCCTGAAATATTTTATAACAGATTGGTCAAAAGGATTTGCCATGCAGGTCCCAGATAGAGCTTTATTGCATCAAGAATCTCAAAAGTTATTTCGCACCAATATTCAACTCCATTAAACATGGTATAATTGCTTGGATTATATGAGGCAAGTGTAACAATCCTCAAGCACAAAAGGAGTTAAGCGAGAATCCAAGTTCTCCTCTGCAGTTTCACCAGCAACCGAGTAACCAACAGAACCTTATAAAAGAAATGGAACTTGAAAAACAATCACATACAATGAACAGAAAAAACACAGAATTTCTTTGCCTCGTGAGACAGTTATGACTTTGTTCAATTATTCTAAGAAAGAACCAAGTACAGCACCTGAAATTTTTTGGCAACCAAAACATAAAGATGGTAAGTTACAATTTTACCTCGTCAATGGCGCTACTCTGGTTATAAATTTGATGCCCAACACCATGAAAGGCACGTGAATCCCATGAATAAGTTTCTCTGCAACCCAAAACCTACTAATCACCAGAAACAAAAACAAGTATACTGTATAAACTATCACAGCAATACAAGAAATTGAACTCATTAATTTGAATTGTATGCAAAAGACAGAACTAACAGCAGTAATTAAGCCTATGTCAATGAAAAAAAATGGAATAAAATAAATCGAGAAGGGTGCTTTCTCTTAAAGGCAAAGGCAAATTTATAAAGAAAAGAACAGGAAGATTGGAGGTACACAAAATATACATTTCTTTCTACAAATATAACACAACAAATTTAAGGATATAAGTATATAACAAATGCTTGAAGTGATTTGCTATTCCAAGAAACCAAAAGCAGACACCCATAAGAACTTCCTAGCACAAGGTATAAGGTTTTAGAAATATTTCTTCCAATATTAGCACAGGATTCCAAACCAGTGTTGATTAGCCCCTGGTGGAAAACCCAGGATCAATCTTCCCATTCTCAAAGACACCAAGCATTGGAAAGTGACCTACTGTCCCATTCTGCTTACACAAGGTAAGATGATCCAAAATCACTCAAATTTAGTTTAGGAACTGATTTCATTATAACTTTGCAGTGCATGAGAAGATAAGAGCCAAAGGTAAGAGCGACTCCAGAGGTGGCCAAATGTACATTCCCAACTTGGAAAGACAAAAAACAGAAAAGTGGTGGTGGGTGGGTGTTCTTGCTCACCACTCCCAAAATCATTCCCTTACTGACATCAGAGGATCCCCCCCAGTTCCTCCTAGCCCTGATCATTCTCTAAGAATTTAAAAACTTGTTTTAACTCCCAATTATCATCAGGCCTTCCAAATCAAAAACTCGAAAGCTTTCTCCACTTCTATCCACAAATTTAGCTTTCTAACTAACCACAATACAAAGAAGAAGTAAAAAAGGGAGGGGGGTTTTCTCACTCGGCATTATAATGTGATCCAAGAAGGACTTCACAAGGATACTCCCAAAATCATTCCTTCACCAACGTCAGAGGATTCCCCAAGTTCCTCCTAGCCCTTTAATCATTCTCCTATAATTTAAAAATGTGCTTTAACTCCCGATTATCAGAAGGCCTTCCAAATCTAAAACTCCAAAGCATTCTCCGCTTCAAGCACTTCTATCCACAAATTTAGCTTTCTAACCACCCACAATGTTGTGCAAGTCCATATGCAAATCCAAAGTCAGGCGTTCCCGCACCAAAACTTGCCCAGAAACATCCAATGACATCCCTCGGTATGCACAGAAAATCCTATCATCTTTGTCCACTTCTTCTTGAACAAGAAGTAAGATAACCCCAACAGAACAATAACCATCCTTGTCTGTGCCAGATTAGAACACCCCTATTGAATGCTGACAAGCCTTCTCAATTTCTCCAATTTTTGGCCAAAATAAATGTCACTTCCAATAACAATACAGTATGCCACTTGGTGACTGTTTGCCACATCTTATTGAAAGCCTATAATTACTTACAGAAAAGAGATTATAAATCCTATAACACAGAGGAGCAAAAAGAAAAAAAATGGTCATTTCGTTCAACTTTATTAATTATAGGATCTCCTTTTGCTAAGCTTGCTTCCAATAAGCAGCCTTTACTTGCTTACTATATAAGTGTTTTTTTATGTGATTGTAGGGAACTGATAACCTGTGACACAGGCAGTTAAGACCAAATGTCATATGATTAGAGTAAGCTTAATTGGTTCACTTATTTGTAGTGTAATAATATGTTCTTGTCCATTTTCCACATACAAATTTGTTTTGTCAAAAATTAGGGCTCCCAAAAGATTGATTATAAACACGTAACAAAAAGGAAAATTTACTATGTAGATACATATATATATGGATACATACACACCCGAACGTACATAGAGATATACGGCAAGCAATCCCTGAAATACAACTAAGTTGAACAGTTGAGTTGACAATTACAATGATATATACGTGTTATTTTGTTTCTTACAATTTTCTCAGCAACCAAACAGACGGCTATTAAACATCATAATCATAATATAGCATAAAATCAGAAGATACGATTCTCTACGAGTTTTACCTTTCCGGTGGAATGTATCCGAGAGTGGAAGTTATTGGAATGGACCAATTGCTGATCACGAGGAAATGAGAGAAGCCATCGGCAGCGGCTCAAGCTGGTTCTCGAAAACCGAGAAAGTCCTCTAGAAAATAACATCTCCTGTGAAGAAGAAAATATGTCTATAGAATGCGAGGTGGTGAGAGAGGGAGTGAGATTTGTAGAGAGAGAGAGAGAGAGAGGGGAACGGGGGAGGGGAGGGGCGGTCAAAGACGAAACCCTGGGTTTGAGGAGAGAGAAGACTAGAGCTTAGTTATATGTTAACCGACTTTTCATTATTATGCACCAAAAGGAAAACGACGATGCCAAATCTAGTTTTTTACTACAGTACATTTACTACCATTCGAGTTGGGTTGACCCGTTACTTTGATAATACAACTACATGGATTTGTCTAATTCGGGTTAAGTCGTGGATCCATCTCTATATTTGGTAATTCAATTTTTTCATATGCGCTAAATTTGCTGATTCAAAAAATTATATATATTGGCAAATTTAGATTTGTTTTGTGTTTTTTTGTTTGGGCTTACGTACTGTAGCATTTTTTTGGGTAAGGGTGTACAAAAATTAGATCAAACGGAAAATTCAAATCAGACCCGACAATTTGGTTTGGTTTGCTAATGGTTTGATCACGGTTCTAAATTTGTAAAATTGTAAAAATAAGGTTTGGTCACGGTTTTGAACCCGACAATTTGGTTTGGTTTGCTAATGGTTTGGTTTGGTCACGATTCTAAATTTGTAAAATTGTAAAAATACAATTTGGTCACAGTTTGATGTCTTTTAGAACCGAATTAGACCGAACCAAAACGTTATATTATATATATATATATATATATATATATATATATTAAATTATACACAATATATAATATTATATAATCCTACAATTCAAATCACTTCGCAATTATCAATTTTATGGTTCACTCTTAATTATATTAGGTCTTATTAATTTATTAAATGATTTTTTTTAGTGACTGATTGTGGCTGATTATATGTTATTGAATTAATAATTCTAAATATATTAGATTATTAGCAATTTTGAATTTATTCACTTTATTTTTAAAAGTGATAAAGAATAATGAATTGAAAGTTCTGAATATATTAATAAGTGAAATTGGGAAAGTCTGATAATATATATATATAAATAAATAAAAGGGGAAAGTTATTGGTTAATATCTACCTTCCCAAGATCCCATCTTTTTTCAATGACTCAACAACTTAGTTCACGCGTTTTCAACTTTCTTCACTTAATTGTCAAATTCTTGACCTAATTTCGTCCGATGAACGACTAGTCGCCCAGCCAAATCTTGAATGGTTAATGTTCAAACTTCGAACCCACGAGGCATAATCCAGTTGATCCACAATTGTCCACGCAGCCATACTAATATGTTCATCACTTAGTATAATATGTTCATATGGTTCAAAAATGTAAAAATAGAAATTATTAAATAAATATATATAATAATTAAAATTATTATTTATTTACCCAAAATGTATCTAAATATTTGAGATTTGAGGGTTATATTATGGCCCTATGGTACATTAAAAAATAAAAAATGATATTTACACTCCAAAAAATATATATTTAAATCGCTTCCCGAGCTAAATATAAATCTTTCAATCTTTTGTCGTAACACTATACGGACTTGTATTATAACACAATGTCTCCATTAAATAATAATAATAATAATTAAATAAATAAAACATGTAAAATCACAGATTCCAGGCCAAGATATAATTCAAAACCAGGGGCTGTAAAGGATAGCGAAAATTTCCACATTAAAATTATTAGTGAATATTTTTTTTTTTGTACACAAGTAATACACATTACAACAATCCAAATTTATGGGACATATATATAACCGTGTGATTCTGTTCTCATTCATAAACTCTAAGTCAAATTATTGGTTTTGGTGCTTAATTTGAATGACCAATGATTTCAATGCATTCTATTCATTGTTCCGAAGACATAAATTCGTTGTTGAAAAATTTATGTCAATAAAAATTTACGAATTTTTCATAATGAAAAACTGAAAAAAGCAATATAGCTTTTAAATAAGATTTCAAATAAATGAATCTTCTCGAAGGTCTTGGGAGATATGGAGATCCTCTTTAAGCTGTGTATTTAAAAAGAAACTAAATTAAACACGAGGCATAAAAATTCATAAATCCAACAATGTAGGAAAATATATCACAGTATGATGCATTCTTAGAATTTACAATGGCACCAAGGAGCACATCATGTACATAACCACAAAATATAAAAGAGAGATCCCAATGAACTCGTTCGGCCTCTCTTGTGTACTGATCTCCACCTTTTTCTGTGCATCGAATGCACACGAGATTCGATCCCAACATCACATCCTGTCATCTAATACCCCCATGCCTTATCAACTCCTTGAACTCTTCATCTGTGCTCTTAAGCATTAGAGGCAGAGCAATCTTTGCCCCACTCTGCACAACCTCCATGTGCCTAGGCTTTATCCTCTTCTCCAAACTAAAAGCAAAGTACTGTGGAAACTCCTTCAACTCCTCCAACCCACCCTCCATTTCCTTAGCAAAGTACTCAAACTTGGGCTTAAAATTATTCTCAACACTGAAAGTGAACAGCCCTGGACACCTCAACACCATACCAATTGCATCATTTCTCGAAAACCCTAAGCTCACCAAATAGTCCAGCTTAGGAATTAAGGTCTTTTGCACACTAGACACCAACAAGATTGGGTCATGGTAAGCCAAAGCTTCCAGATCCTCAAACCCGAGTCTCCGGAGGTAGAACAAAGCTGGTTTGAGCTGGTCTCTCACACTGGAGATTAACAATCTTGGACACTTGTTGATGACCCTTCTAAAGCTCTGGTCTGGGACTTGTAGGTCATGGGAGAGGAAGTTGAAGACTGGGTTTAGGTCAGTTTTGATTTCAGAGGTTAGGACTTTGGGACACATGCCAAAGATCCTGCCCATGTCCTTCTGGAGGATGCCTTTGGATTGGAGGAAAGAGATGATGGAGTGGATTGAGTGAAGGGTGGCTGTCTGGAGGGATGGGTTTAGGGACAGTGCCCTACCTGAATCAACACCCATTATTTCTAGGCATAGGATCTTTTCTTTGAATTGGATTGAGAGTTTTGTGTGGGTTGATGTGTAAAGTGGGTGCTTTTGGAGGGGGGTTTTGGGTTTTGTTGTTAAATGGCTGTTTGGATACTGGGAATTTGAGGGCTGGGATGATGGTTTCTGGGGAGAGAAGCCCAGGGAAGAATGGTATGCTGCTGCTGCAGGCATGGTGAGAGAGAGATAGGGGAAGGGAGTTGGGCACTTCCTTGCATACTCGGCTCATCATCCTATTATTTTTATCTGTTTCCAGCAATGACACGTGGCAGGCTGCTTTAAATTGATTGGCCCGGAAAGGATTTTGTAGATTGGGTGAGAACTGAGAAGCATTTTTCAGTGTACCTTCTTTAGTGTGACTGGAAATATCACTACACTGTTCTATTAACGTTTACATTGTTTCCTTCCATGGATTCCACTGAGAATTTGTGTGCTCTCTCCTACAGTGCTACATAAAATTTTCGGAATGCATTTTCTATAGAAAATTTTGTCAGCAAAAGTTGTATAGAATTTGTGTCTTGAAATTACAATCGGAGAAAAATTAGTTTAAATTTTAATTTTTTTTAAATACTTATCAAATGAGAATGAGTAATGATAGATGGTCCAAGTAAAAAGGCCGAATTGTAGTCCGAGTCTTACATGGCATAACCATGTCATTCCTTAAATTTGTCTATCGTCGATTCTCTCTCTCATTCTCTGGTTATGAGTTTTCACGATATTCTGCGTGACGCACGATATTCTCTCTCTAGATCTATTGAATCCGACAAGCCAAAACGATTCTCCAACCTTCTTCTCGTTCTCTCATCTCCTGTTCTTCAATTCTTCTAATCGTCTTCTGTCTTCCTCTCTTTGATTTGGCATCACAAACAAATCTAAACAACACAAAATTCTCTACAAGAACTCTCACACTCTAAACAGTAGAATCCACTAAAAAAATCTCACTTCAAACATAAATCAATAAAAAAACAATATTGAAGGTATGAAAATAAAAAATTAGGGCTTATGTGCGAAATCGAAGAAAAAAAGTCATTATCGATTTTGTCTAAAGGTATTATATGTGAGTCCTGTAATCCATGGCCAGTGTGGTGTTAATATTCATTAGGTTCTGTAATCCATAGCAATGGCGGTGCTTAGATTCATTTTTGCTTGGTTGATGTATTTGTTGTTTGTTTTGATTGATTAAAGATAGTCAAATTATTTTGTTTGCTTGAATGAAATAGATCCAGAAACAGAGTTGAGAGAGAATCTAAGAGAGAGAAAAGAGTTTAGAGAAAGGAAGAATCAATGAACCAGAGACAATAGAGAGAAAAACTAAGAATAAGAGAGAGCCGGAGAAAGAGAGAGAGAAGAGAGGTGATAGCGAAGGGAGAGGGGAGTCACAGAAACGAGGAAGAAGATGAGAGAGGAGAGACAAGGTTTCATTGATGATGTGGCAGCCACATCTGATGCCATGTAGGACTCAGACTATAATTCGGCTCTTTTGGTCTAACTACGTATCATTACTCAACGAAGAATGTTACAAAGTTCAAACTCCAAACTCGTAAGATAATCTAGTCGAAACTTGTAAGCAAAGGGGTTTATAGTTAATCACCTTTTAAATTACAATCAAGTCCTATACTTGTTTTGCTAGGAGCGTCTTCTTAACAAGAATAATTACGTAATGGATATCCCCGATTGGCTGAACCAGGTTTAGACTCTTTTAAGAGAGTGTACATGTCAAAACGCTGTCTTAACTCATCTTCAAGCTACATCTAATTTATATATTAAGCTTCGAAACAGATTTAACCTCGCAACATGGTAAATATATCCAGAATATCAATCTTACTACCGAACCAGATTTATAGCTAAGCCCATCAATTGAATGATTCAAACCAAACTCAGGTATTTATAAATGCTTGTCCTGTTTAACAAACTCCAAACCCGAAAAGAATGGAACATAGTGGTACCAAACAGTATACAAACAATATGTAACAGTTATACAATTTAGCAAGCCTTAATATTCAATTTCTAGAATATGACGATTACAAGTCTGCCAGATTTCACAGATATATAACATTTTACAAGAGCCAATAATCAAGATGGCACAATACCAGCACCTGTAAAACAGAGAATGAGAACAATTACTATCTTCAAAGTAATTATCTGTAAAGACAGCAATAACATATTATGCAAAGTAAGTTGAGTCTGAAAAATGATTTAACAGCCATAATATTTCATGAGCGGTGCAAAATTGTTGCAGAAAAAATATTCTCTAACTATGCCATTGCATCAGTTAGAAAACCATTAAAGGGTACTTAATCGAAATAAATATAGTATCATATACTAACCTTCATTTCCTTGCTCTATCGTTTGACCATCTGATCTCCAGACAATATCCTTCAACCCAATTGACAGATTATTGTAGAACTGTGTATTAAAGATGATGTGCAAAAATGAGCTTACAATAAAAATGATAAAAATAAATAAATAAATAAATACACATGCACACAAACACAAACACACAGCGACAACATTAGAAATTTTTATAAGATAGGACAATAATGCTAGGTAAGACCTCTCAAAATAATAATAATAATGGTAGGCGAGAGGTGGCAATAATGGGTCCTGCCTCTGATCTGCCCGGAGAGCCTGCAGGCAGAAGATGTGGAATGACATTTGAACTCTAAAATGTTGAATTGCAGTAGGCTTATAAAAATGACATAGATGAAACGAGATGGGTGAGTTTCTTTCAGAGCAAGATGTAATTTTTTTTACTACGATCACTAACATAATATTTTTGCCTACTTGGTAAAAATTGTTACATTGGAATATATCTTGCAATAGCATGAATTTATGTGGCCAACCCCATCCATATGGGATAAAAGCAAGGATGAATGGATGATAATGATGGTGGTGGTGCTATTCCTGAAATCAAAAGACAGCCAACTGGTAGACAACACATGCACTGAATGGCTACCTTGGAGTGCTTATTATATTACTGCTGCATCGGATCAAAGAGTCATCGACTCATTGGTACAAATATTATGGAAAAAAGAATAAATAAATTAAGACTAGCACAAAAAAGGTTTAACTAAACGCCACCTCTGAAATAGTTTTAAATACAAACCTTGTGAAATTCTAAGGTATCCCCTCCAGACTTGCGAAGCTCAACCATGTAAAGTGAGGGAGCGACTTCAAAAATCTGTGGGAGAAAATTATCATCAGAACCAGCTAAATTGCTCCGAGGAATACACTTGCGAGTTTTCAGTCAACAAGATCCCCTGAAGAAGGTGATTGGAAGAACCATACCTCTGTTGCAACAGATAGATGACCCTTACGCCCAGTTTTCTCCCCTTGCAGCTTCATCTGAGATGAATAACAGAATTGATTTAGTATGCGGAAGAATAGTACTGAACTTGTTCATCAATATTGATCTAATCCACTATTATTATGAGCTTTGCTTAGAAGACCAAGAAAGTACCGGAAGTTATTTGAAATACATCAAACCTAAAACAAAAATATGAAGCCTACGGGTAATGAAATCAGGATGCAGGAAAACACACATTCTTTACATCGGTTCATTTGGTCTAAACACCTACTGAACTCAGAAAACTGCTATTCTGAAAAAACTCGTTCTGTACTGTCATGGAAATAACATAAATAAAACACAATTATAGATAATTAAGGCTGAGAATACAAACACAATGCTTTATTCTACCTTGTAGTTATTTTTCTTTACATCAAAACCCAAAGGCACCGCAGCTTCCTCAATTTTTGAAATAATCTCTTTGGCAGGACATCTAGATGTAAATCTTGTTTCTCGCTTAACAAGCCCCTGCTCAACAAAGGAAATGTCAGCCATGTAAAGCTTCATGTTTAAGCCATAATATCAAACTAGATCATTAGAGGCAACTGCATCATTTAACAATGAGATTGTGAGCAACATTCCTCATAATATAGTAGGACTTTTTGGTCAACAATCATTTCTGACAAATCAACCAAGTTATATTCTAAACAGCTCTGTATTCATCTATCAAATCATTTGAAGTGTTGAAAAATAAGTGCAATGAACAGTTTGAAGATACTTCATGGATCAGGATTGCAAACATCATCCTCATCAACTCATGATGAAACAGAAAATTATATGCATGATACTTTATGTTCCAAATTCAATAATTAAAGCCACAAGATGACATACCATTTGCTTTTCAAAGAGAGATCCAAGGTTCAGACCCATAGATGTAGAGATAAGCTCAAAAGCATTCATAGTGACGGGCATTGCAGGTTGTTCTTCGCGCCTCTCCACAACAAGGTTTCGAGAGTCCTGTACACCAAGAGGAACAGCATTTACAAAGTCATTCTGATGCCTAATTATCTATGCTTATTAAACGGGAAGACAAAAAAAAATGATATTAAGAAGGAGAAAAGAAGATTTCTGAAATAAGATTGCCATAAACAAGATCTTGTTACCTCTGATTCATCAAAAATAGCCTCCACGTCATCGAGACTAACATCTGCCTGTTCAAATTTGGGTGGCTTATATCCTTTCTTAAACCAATCATTCTCGATGACCTCAGCAATTGTAATGCGCTGTTTCATACCAATTTTTTTTATAGAAACTTTATTAGTTTACAATGGATAAAAGAAATTATGGGAGACATAACTCAAGAGGCATTGGGTAATCAAATCTGTTAACAAAAGATACAAAAAATTCCACTTCAAATAACAATACAGTACTACAATCAAAGAGCAACAGAAAAGTTTGCTTACTGTTGAGGGATTAGGGTCCAGGATTCTTTTGATTAGTTTCTTAACACTCGAAGAGAACCATGGAGGGCAAGTGAAGTCAGCCTTGAATATCTACAATCACGTGGAGTCAGGTTTCTAATTTTAAAAAATAAACTAAAGAAGATAATGTCCTTATGCATAGATGTCCATAAGATGATCTTATACAACGCATGGCAAACATGTCACTTGTATTCCAATGGCCACTTAGACATGCAAACCATGATTATTGCACCTCATGCCATAAATGATTTATTTTCCTTTCTTGGTCTTGTCATTCATTTGATTGGTCAATGTGGCACTGGATGTAAATTAAATTGGCACTGACAAATAATGTTCAATCAACATGTTTTAATAGAGTCCTAAAAATAGCATAGAAGATTAAATAATACTCTGAATAAATCACTGATCTCAAAAGAATGGTATGCATTTTCACAAATTTTGAAAATATAAAATAAAATAAAACTACAGGAGGATTTATGACAACAAATAAAGGGTTAGAAGTCACCTTTTTGTACAGTGCCATGAGGTTCGAGTCTTCAAAAGGCAAAAAGCCTGCCATAATGACAAAAAGAATTACGCCACAGGACCACAGATCTGCCTTAGCACCATCGTAACCTTTATTGTTAATAACCTAGAAAATAAAGAGTCAGAGATCTGAATGGTTCAGAGGGGAGAGGATACAATAACCACAAGTTAAAAGCGTACCTCAGGAGCAACATAATTTGGAGTTCCACATGTCGTGTGCAGTAACCCATCTTCCTGAATATAAGTATTCAGAAACTCAATTCCGAGTTCTTTTATGGATGATGAAATGTTTTAAGTTGTGAAAATATAACTATAATCAAGAAATGAAGTAATGAGATGAAGATGGTGGTGGCAACATAAAATGGTCCTGACCGAAAGTTTGCACATCTTCTACTAATAGGATGCAGATAATAATTTAATAATGGAAAAAGTATATTTCCCAAAGCACAGTAAGCTTCACACTCACTCTAACTTGCTGAGGTAGAGCGCTTAATCCAAAGTCTGAAACTTTAAGAACTCCATTTGCATCCAGCAGTAGATTCTCTGGCTGTGAATTACAAACCGTTTGATGGTTTAACTCTGTGTACTGATTTCCTCATCACCGCTCAATCGAAGAAACTTAGAGGGTCAAAAAGAGATAAAAGAACAATAATTTTCTCACCTTCAGATCTCTATGGAAAACGCCTCTGCTGTGGCAATAATCCACTGTATTAATGAGCTGCTGAAAGTACTTTCTTGCTTCATCTTCTTTAAACCTTCCTCTAGTAGACTGGCTCAAAGCAAATATTTTTAAAATGCCACTTTATTAATAGTTGCAAATAACAGGATTGTATTGGAAGCAAATGCAGAATTGAACTAGCATTATCTTACAATTTTGTCAAACAGTTCACCACCAGTAACGAATTCCAAAACAATGTATATTTTTGTCTTGCTAGCCATAACCTACAACCAGAATATCTCAAGTCACTTGAGTAACGTGTGAGGTCATCAAAAAAAGAAACTCGGTGATTGATCTACATAAAAGTATAGCAGATATTAAAGCCTTAGACATAAAAATATAGCAAGCTTTGTACACATGTGAGATAGACCAAATTAGAAGCAATGCCAGAAGTTTATACAAGAGAAATAGGAAATATAGCAAGCTATGGACATGTGAGATAAACCAAATTTGAAGCAATGCCAGAAGTTTATAAGAGAGAAATATGAATTTTGTGTTGGACGAAATTCTAACCTCATACATGCGGATGACATTTGGGTGTCTGATTAGTTTCATGGTAGAAATTTCCCGTTTAATCTGGAATAGCCAAACACGATTATGACATTACCATAAATATTAAGGGGGTAAATGACAGACAGATAAGAAAATGAAGTGTAGATTCAATTAAATATTCCGCAATCCACTTTTCAACTTTTGCACTACAATCTTAAATGAAATGACAATTATAACCCTAAACTTATAAGTAAATAATTATTACTTTTTAAATGATACAACTGCCCTTTTAAATTTCCTTTCCTTATCGCCTCTAATCTTTAATATTTTAGATCTCTTTTGGCACGTAAAAAAAAAAATTTGAATACTCCTCTCCCAATTTAGATGTCACTTTTGGGGAGTAGGAATTTTTTAGAGGACATGTGGGGCATACCTTGTCTCTTTGAAAAGTTATTAATTTGCCCTTCTAAAGAGGACATGTGGGGCATACCTTGTCTCTTTGAAAAGTTACTAATTTGCCTTTCTAAGTTTTGAATATTCAAGTTTGAAATTTTAAACTCCAATGACATATAGGAAAAGATATAAAATATATTGTTCGAAAAAGAAAAATGACAATTATTTTAGGATCGACCGAAAAGGAAAGCATGACATTTTTTTTTGGGATAGAGGTAGTATATTTTTTTTTTCGGGTCAAGATCCAAATAAATAAATAAGGTTATTTTTATTTTCTTTAAAAGAAAAAGTTAACTGGAATGCAAATGGAGAAAAGTGGAGTGCAAATATTGCCTCCCAATATTAATCATAGTATGTCAAAAGGAATAGCCTTGCTATGATGAACATAATAAAAGGGGCAGGAGAAAGAAGACAGAAGATTGAACCGGCAATCACAATAGAGGAAATTTACACGACAATGCTTCAAATGATCAGCCTAAACATTTTATCAATTCAGAAAATCAAAGATGAAAGAAAATCATTGTTCAATCATGAAGTCAAGTTAATTATTGAGGTAAAAGAGCTCAAATAAATGAAACTTATGTTTCAATATTTGCTTATACTTTTAGCAGGAAGTGCCTTAAAGTAAAACAAGAGAACAACTGTTCAGCTCCTTTTTTTGTTTGCTGAAAAGAAGAATAAGACGATTAGAAAGGGAAAGAAAATAGGGAGAGAAAACTGAACATAAGTCAACTACAGAACACTCAACACCAATTATAAATCAACTAAAAAAATTAGGGCTTCGAAATTTTCTGTCTCCTTGGATATATCAGATAAAGTAAAAGGTGCTTTAGGTAATACCATTGAAAAGTCAATCGAAAATGGAATCTAGTAGAATTTCCGTACAAAAGAACTCAATCTAACCCCCCCAAAAAAAAAAATTATGAGCTTTAATCTGATAAAGATCGAATCAAACATAGTGAGAAAAAGTACCTGACCGATCATCTTATGCTTGAGAACTTTTTCTTTATTGAGAATTTTGATAGCGACGTTCTCACCAGTCTCCAAGTTCCGAGCAAACTTCACCTTCGCAAAGCTTCCCTCCCCGAGCGTCCGTCCCAGCTCGTACTTCCCCACACGAGTCCTACTACTTCCGCTTGCGCTAGAAGCCATTTCTCACTCTAAAACCCCCCCTCTCTCTCTCTACAGATGTGTCTTTAACCTTCAAGATCTCTTCTTTTTTGTAAGACTGCCTCACCTTACACTTCAATTCAGATACCATCCATTGTTTCTCTCACTAAAAAGCTCGCGTCTTTATACACATAAAATCGATATCTCTTCTTTTTTTGCAAGACTGCCTTCACCTTAACACTTCAATACAGATGCCATCCATTGTTTCTCTGACTCTCCTCTCTCTCTGTATATATAGATATAAAATCAAGATCTCTTCTTCTTACAAGGCTGCCATACCTGAGACTTTGACACATTCATCTTCCCTTTCTATACACACAGAACACAAAAGATAACAAATACAGAAATCCTAGATGAGAGAGATACCGAAGATGCCAACTATCGACGATAGCACATGGCAATCCATTAATTGCAGTTTATGAGATAAAGCTGATATATATATATATATATGGAATGGATCGATTTGGAAGTCGTACTGCAAAATTATCAGAATTTTCTGATTTACATAGGTTTGGACGAACCCTAGACCAACGAGCGAGGTCGATTCGGATCGAAGAAGTCGTAAATCTTTTTTTTCTGCCTCAAAATTTTGGGGGGTTTTTGTCTCTGAGATTTCAATGTTCGCCTTCTTCACCTTTTATATTTGTTTTGGTACATCTGCAATCCTTTAACTATAAGATGGCACGTGGAAAAGAAGTTAAACTGACGGCTAGGATTGATCCACGTGTTCCTTAAACAAGCCAACGAAAACAAATTTTAATGCTTTAAAATAATTTCCCGGCAAATAAAATAATACTACTGTAATAGATGAGCAAATGAGATTATAGGATTTGGGAAGTTTTTCTTGTTTTATAATTCATCGTCAATATAATATCTATTTTGCTTGCATGAAGTCATGAACTGAACTCCAATAATGGCTTATTTTATGATCCAATAATTGCCTTTTTTTAATGATAAAAGATAAGATTTTTTTATGCCATTACCAGTTTAATGATAAAAAGATAAGATTTTTTATGCCGCCAGTTTAAAAATAAACAACTTTAAAATGGACCATATCACTTACATTGTGCACAAGCACAAACAAGTTAATGCCTAATTAATCAAATTTGCAATTTTAAAGATAATATAACATATTCGACGTAGATTTATTTGTTTTTTATTTTATTGATATATAAAATTCATGTGTAAATATCATATGATTTTGTATCTCATATGTATATACTCCGTATGGAGAAAATGATCGCGCCTTCGTAATGGAGGAAAAGACATAAGCCTAATAATAATGCACAATCATGATGAGAAAAAGACATTAGCCAAGAACCCACATGCGTTGTAGGCCCACGAGTTTGTAAAAGAGTGGCCCATGAACTTGCCAAGTGGGCTCTTGATAGTAGGACTGGACTGGGAGATGTGACCTCTGTGGTGCTCAATCACCTCATTATTTGTGTTGATGTTTTATCTGTTGTTTTTCTGTAGCTCCTCCTTTAAATTGTCAGATAAAAAAATTTTAAAAAAAATAAAATAGGGAAGTCATATCTTAAATGATGCAATATTTTTTCTAATCTTAATATAAATGTAAGAAAATGTCTCTGGTTCTTGATGCTCATGCTAAAAAATAAAAAAAAATCATTTCACTTTAAAATAGGAGATCTTGCAAAAAAGAAAGTATTTAGCCTCACTCAAGATACTCCTCTTCCCTTTTTTTTCTTCTAAGTTTCTAATGCTATTTCTAAATGGTATAAAATATTTTGGGATAAAGTTTAAGAATAAAATCATATAAACTTAGTTCCAAAAAAAATAATATCATACCATGCAGAATAATTTGTTAGATTGAATTGTTAACATATTTCATGAAAATAGTAATAAGAGGAGATTGGAGAATATAATTTAAGATCTCTTCTAATTTTGTGAAAGATATTTTGGTTATTTCTATACTTATTAAGGTATTTATTTATTTTGATTTTCCGTACAATATTTTGGTTTTTTTTTTTTTTTTTTTAACTTCCCCACGTGAGGATCAATACTAGCTCATGAAAACAACCATGAGATAAGTTGGTCACTCTTTTTTCTAATGGTTTTAATAACTACAATCAGAGTCTATTTTACCTTAATAGCTTTGTTATATATTATGCTAAATGTGTTAAATGGTATTCGTTATGATCGAAAATTATTTACAAAAATGTATTAAAAAGAAAAAAAAAAACAACGCCAAACAATCTTGCTTTAGTCGCAATCTTAGAATTTTGACCATTCGACAATATTGTCTTTACAGAAAAAGATTCTCAGCATCGTCCTTCATTCCAATAGCACAATCGAGTTGTCATCCTCCGCTGCAATTCTATTACAACTGATGCTTTAGTACATTTTTCGCCGGTCTTAAGTGTTATTTAATAAAAACTAAAAATTAAAGACTCAAAATTGTAAGCACTGTTTAATGAAATTTTAAATATTGAATGTATTAATTTAAAATTTATTTAATATTGTCTTATTTTTAAGTGTTGAATTCATTAAGATTGTTTATTAAATGAATGACCTGAAATTTAAACGTTGTACATATTACATTTTTGCCTTCAATTATCTTCTACACATAATATTATTATACGAGAATATATATATATATATATATATATATAATATAAAATTATGTATTTCACCAAAAAGTAATATATTAATTTGACAATGGATATTAATGTTATATATAATATAAAATGGACAATACTTGTGTCCAACTTGGGTACGTGGCATAATCAGTGCATAACAAGTGTTCATTAATAGTATTAAATTTAAATTGGATATTACCCAATTATTCGGGTTAACCCGTTCATAACTCTCTTCTTTTTTTTTTTTTTTTGGCTTACTTTCATCGACAACCTCCACCCCTCCTCCTTTTCCCCGCCTCAACCTTAACCTCCACCCCAAATCTCTCCCACTGCAACCTCTACCCCTTCTCTCTCTCCACCGCAACCTTAAGATTGTTTGTTAAATTAATGAGCTGAATTTATTAAGATTGTTTGTTAAATTAATGAGCTGAAATCTAAACATTGTACATATTACATTTTTGCCCTCAATTATCCTGTACACATAATATCGTTATACAAATACTATATATATATATATATATATAGACATGTCATGAGGTCCAAAAGAACGAATTTTTCAACAGACCAAAATTCAATTAGTCAATTACCTTAATTACGTTATCAGACTTAACTATAGTTAATAATTTTAACTTTAATAGTTAATTTACCATAGTTAGTCAATACATTTATTTAATCTCTTTCTTCCTTAATCTCTTCCATATTCCTTGCAATCTCAACCACTACCGTCATATCCACATTATCACGGCCACTATCTTCACCACTACAGCCACAACACAAGTATCGTATTCATTCTCCAAAATTAGACTCTAAGGCTAAATTTCAATAATATTAAAATACTTTGTTACCCATGTATACACAAATTAAGATTCTTTATAAGTCTTAATAAATAAAAAAATATTTAAGAATCAATCTTTTCACGTCTTTGATTTACGACATCTAGGTAGGACCAACTTCTTTTCATTGTCTTTTGGTAAATTGAAAATTTATTATAGTAATAGTTAGTTCTCTAAATTAAAAATTATATTTACCTACCAAAAAATAAATAAAAAATAACTTGTAAATTGATTGAAAGACGGTGCATTCACAGAATTAAAACCTTCAACTCATCAAAGTCATATAACATATGATCAGACTCCTTTTTCTCTTTGATGAGTCTGTTATCTGCTGCTAGGTTGATTGTTTCTGCTGCTCTAGTAGTCTTGGAGTCTTATTTTAAAGAATGAATACGGTAGTGGTTGAGATTGCAAAGAAGATGAAGAAATTAAGGAAGAGAGAGATTGAAAAAAGGTATTGACTAACTATGGTAAATTGACTATTAAAGTTAACATTATTAACTATGATTAAGTCTGATATAGTAATAAAATATAATTGATTAATTGAGTTTTAATCCGTTGAAAAGTTCGTTATTTTGGACCGGAATGAGAGCCTTCCTGATATATATATATATAAAATTATGTATATCACCAAAAAGTAATATATCAATTTGACAATGGATATTAATGTTATATATAATGTAAAATGGACAATACTTGTGTCCAACTTGAGTGTGTGGGCATCAATAGTATTGAATTTAAATTAAATATTGGATATTACCCAATTATTCGGGTTGACTCGTTCAAAACTCTTTTTTTGTTGGCTTGCTTTCATCGACAACCTCTACCCCTTCTGTCTCGCCACCTCAACCTTAACGTCCACCCCAAATCTCTCCCCACCGCAACCTCCACGCCAATCAGTTCTCCTGTCCACCCCAACCTCTATTCCTTCTCTTTCTCTCCATTACCACCTCCTACCATGGCAACCTTGATATGTCTGAGATCCTGGCGGTGGCTCCAGAGATCTATGGTGGACGGTAGAGATCAGCGGCAGAGAGTTGGTGATGATCTGCGTGGGGTTAACGGCATCGAAAAAAAGGCTGAAGAAGGAACGCGTGGACACGTTCAACACGAGTTAGATCTACTCACAGGAGCGTGTCGGGCGGGTGGTGATGATGAACTTGGAAGACACTGGTGAGTTTGCCTGTTACAGTGGCAATGATGTTTGGCCAGTGGTGATATTGTTGTCTGTCGAATGTGATCATGTTTGTGTGTGTGACCGTGTGTACCACCCAAATATCCCCTGTTAATAAGTTGTGTTTGTGTGTTGATGCACCTTCATCAGTCACCGAAAAAACATGGTCATCTTGATGTTATTGAAGGTAAAATGGCGTGGAATATGATATTAATATCTATATCTATATCTATACTATTATTAAATGTGTAAATAATTTCAGTGTTTCAGTATTTTAGTATTTCATTATTTATTTATTTAGTTATATAAAAATATTTATTAATTGATATAAAAATAGTTTTTATAAACTCTAAAAATTATCTAATAAAATCAAACATGATCACCTTCTAGTTTGAAAGTGCACTTGGTGCAACTGTGTAATGTTGATACACTTTATACTTATCGAGTATTTCAGGACTTCCACGGTAAACATTACATCACAAAGTTTGACTCATCTAATTGCAATGTTGCTTGTTCTTGTATGACATTTGAGTCAACGAGGTGGTTATGTCGACATGCATTTAAAGTTCTTGATACTTTGAATTGTAAGATTATTTATTTAATTGTGGCCCATATGATTTGGACATGTGACATATTACTTGGTGGCTAAGTAAATATATATCAATTAATATTATTTATTTTTGGTCAACTTATAATTACTTTTTTGGTAATTACTTATTGGAGAAGTGTTTTTCTTTCTTATTTCTTACTTTGATGGAAAGTAGAATTATGTTACTAAAAGGAAAACTAATCATCTCTCTGTCTTTATAAAAGTACATATACTCCATCAATTATAGACGATTAAGGATACAACACGTAAAAGTTTTATGTGTGCAAAAGGCCAAGAGAGAGAAACCAGTTTCCACCTTTGCCTGTTGATCAAAGTTACAGATTAGTTCGTGGTTAAAGGATCTAGTCGTTGGATTTAATCTCAATAAGGTTTGATATCATGAATCGAGGTATGTATATCTAACTATATATATTTATGCATTATAAGGATGTGAAATTAATTGAAGTTTAAGACCTAGGAATTTATGATTATTTGTGATTAAAGTCTAACACAAATTAATTAGAGTTTACATGTGGTATTAGATCACGTAGTTTTGGAACTCGTTATTTTCCATTCTCCTTGCATAAATAATAAGTGTAAGTTTAAATTAAATATTTTTAATTTATTATATATGGACGCTACTTTAATAGAGACCCATGATAAAAAAAAAAATTTAATTAGTGTACCAGTAACGTTTTTGAATTACGGTCCAGAATCTATGTATGATCAGATTTGTTAGCTTTACACTTGATGTGATATGATGTGCCTCATTTTACATTCTTATGTGTGTGTGTATATATAATAAGACAAATCAATGTACAGAATGAAACTTTTTATATCATAATGAGACAAAAAACAAGTCAATATATATTATATTGTTGTGATTTTCGTACATGATGATGAACTTACAGTAATTGAAAGTTAGAACCATTATGTATACATTCTTAACTTTTGTTTATAATTCTGCTGCGCAAATCGAGGCTGTGAATTGTAATGATGTTTTTTTTTTTTTTTTTTTTTTTTTTTTTTTTTGGTACATAATTGAATATATGTTTATTAATATATAATGCAGTACATGTAAATTTTTGGACACCCACTAACAGTTTAATTAATTGATTTTGTAAATTATGTATACATAATGTGATGGATAATTTAATGTTGAATTTATCACTAGATAATTAAATATTTATATTATAGAAAGGTTGGTAGCTACCAAAGTGGCCTAACCATAATGATTAATGAATATTAATTTTAGTAGTAGACATAATTACAATATTTCATGAATAATGATGCTTATAATTTTTTTTTTTTTTTTTTTTGTAAAATTCATGAATATTGGGTTTATTCAATTATTAGAAATAATTTCTCAAAGGGAATTAATTTTTAAGTGATTAAATAAACATTAAGGGGTTGTATGTAATTTTTAATTGGGTAGATATAGGATATCCAAAGGTAACTTGTTTATTTAATTAATTAGTTCATCACCAATGAAGCTATATATAAATAAATACATCTAAGCATAAATTTTTTATATTTTGTGGTTACTATCCAAAGAAGTACCATAGTTGTACAGTGTATTTATTTATTTTTATATGTGTTGTTATCTCAAAGTATTAATGTTATGAGTATTTACTTTATTATGATTATTTTATTGCAGTATCTCTTCCTGTTTCAGTGAATTCGCATGCTTCATCTGTTCCAATTCTCAATGGGACTGACTTCTCATAATGGAATAAGCAAGTTCAGTTCAACTTAGGTGTGTTAGATCTTGATTTAGCATTTCAAATTAAGAAACCTACTGTTATTACCGGTGAAAGCAGTGAAGAAGAAAAGACTCTCCAGAAAGTTTGGGAGAAATCGAACAAATTGATTATTATGTTTATGCGAATGACTATTGCAAATAATATCAAAACAACTCTTCCCCAAACTGATAGTGCTAAGGAATATTTGAAAAATATTGAAGAACGTTTTTGTACTGCAGATAAGTCTCTTGCAGGGAAATTAATGGCTGATCTCACTATTATGCGTTTTGATGGTACTTGTAGTATGCATGAGCATGTTCTTGACATGACTAATCTTGTTGCAAAATTGAAAACTTTAGCGATGAATGTGGATGAGACTTTTCTCGTTCAATTTATTCTCAATTCCTTACCTATTCAGTATGGGCCATTTCAAATTCACTATAACACTATTAAGGATAAGTGGAATGTGAATGAATTGGCCAGTATGTTAGTTCAGGAGGAAGGAAAGCTTAAGTAACAAGATAATCATAATGTTCATCTCATGATTCAATAAGTTAGAAAGAAATTTGCGAAAAGGCCTAGAAAAGGCATTAAGCGAGCAACACCCCAAATAAAGGATTCTTATCAAGTTACTCAAAAGAAGGAACGCAAGAATGATAAGTGTCATTTTTGTAACAAATCTGGACGCTTTCAGAAAGATTGCATAAAACGTATAGAATGGTTCGAAAAAAAGGGTAAGCCTTTGGCTTTTGTATGTTTTGAATCAAATTTAATTGAAGTTCCTCTTAATACTTGGTAGGTTGATTCAGGCTCTAATGTTTATATTTCCAATACGATGCAGAGATTCCTTTCAACCCAAACCACAAATCCAAATGACGATTTCTTGTTCACAGGGAATTGGGAGAAAATTCCAGCTGAAACCATTGGGATATGTAGTTTAGTTTAAAATAGTGGATTTCATTTAGATTTGTTTAAAACTCTTTATGTTCCATCAATTTCCCGTAATTTGATTTCTTTGTCCAAACTTGATGTTAATGGTTTTTCATTTAAATTTGGTAATGGTTGTTTCAGTTTGTTCAAAAAATCCTAATTTGTTAGTTCTGGTATTCTTGTTGATGGTTTATACAAGATAAAGCTTGATGATTTATTTTCTGAAACACTTTTGACCTTACATCATAAAGTTGGAACCAAACGTAGCTCAATTAATGAAAATTCATCTTTCTTGTGGCATAAAAGATTGAGTCATATATCTAGTGAAAGGTTAAAAAGATTAATAAAAGATGGAATTATTTGAAATCTAGATTTTATTGTGTGTGTGAATTGTATTAAAGGTAAACAAACCAAACACACAAAGAAATGAGCAACAAGAAGTATAGAACTTCTTGAAATTATTTATACAGATATTTATGGACATTTTGATGTTCCATCTTTTGGTAGAGAAAAATATTTTATCACCTTTATAGATGATTTTTCACGTTATGAATATATCTATTTGTTGCATGAAAAATCTCAAGCAGTGAATACTCTTGAAGTATATATAAATGAGGTAGAAAGACAATTAGATAAAAAAGTGAAAATAGTAAGGTCAGATAGAGGTAGTGAATATTATGGAAACTATAATGAAACGGATCAATGCCCTGGACCGTTTGCTAAATTCCTTGAAAAGCGTGGCATTTGTGCTCAATACACTATGCTAGGCACGCCACAGCAGAATGGTGTAGCTGAAAGGCGTAATCGTACTTTTATGAAAATGGTTAGGAGTATGTTAAGTAATTCCTCGTTACCCATATCATTGTGGATGTATGCTCTTAGAACTGCTATGTATATATTAAACAGGGTTCCTAGTATGGCAGTTTCAAAAACTACATTTGAACTATGGACAGGAAGAAAACCTAGTTTAAGACACCTGCATATTTGGGGTTGCCCAGCGGAAGCTAGGATTTATAATCCACATGAAAAGAAATTGGATTTTAGAACAGTTAGTGGGTACTTTATTGGTTACCCAGAAAAATTCAAAGGATATAGGTTTTACTGTCCTACACATAGCACAAAAATTGTTGAAACCGGTAATGCCAGATTCATTGAGGATGGTGAAATCAGTGGGAGTGATAGAAATAATAATATGATCATTCAAGAAATTAGGGTACAAATCCCTTTGCCCATAACTTTTAAAGAAATAATTGTTTCTCCAGTTGTTGAACTGCATAACAACGAAGAACAATTAAATGATCAACAACTCCATAATGAAGCTATCACTATTGAAGTTATAGAAGAACCACAAGGAATAACATTAAGACAGTCTTAAAGAGAAAAGAGACCTGCTATTCCGAATGATTATGTGGTATATTTACATGAATCTGATTTTGATATAGGGATACGTAAGGATCCGGTTACATATTCACAAGCCATTAATAGTAATAATTCTACTAATTGGATTAATGCCATGAATGAGAAGTTAAAGTCAATGGAATAAAATAAAGTTTAGGAACTCGTTGAATTGCCTAAAGGATTTAAACAAGTCAGGTGTAAATGGGTCTTTAAGACCAAACGCGACTCTAATGGCAATATTGAATGATATAAAGCCAGACTTGTAGCCAAAGGCTTCACTCAGATAGGAGGCATTGATTATAAAGAAACCTTCTCTCCTATATCTAAAAATGATTCCTTTAGAATTATCATGGCATTTGTAACTCATTATGATTTAGAGTTGTATCAAATGGATGTGAAAACAGCTTTCCTAAATGGAAGTTTAAAAGAAGAAGTTTATATGGATCAACCTGAAGACTTCAGATTAGAGGGTAAAGAACGCATGGTCTGTAAACTTAAAAAGTCAATATATGGACTTAAACAAGCTTCCCGACAATAGTATATTAAGTTTAATGATACTATTACTTCTTTTGGTTTTAATGAAAATACTGTTGATCGGTGTATGTACCAGAAGGTTAGTGAGAGTAAGTTTATATTCCTGATTCTATATGCTGATGATATTTTGTTTGCTAGTAGTGATCTTGGTTTATTGTATGAAACTAAAAATTATCTCTCTAAGAATTTTGAGATAAGATATGGATGAGACATCCTACGTGATAGGAATAGAAATATTCCGTGACAGGTTACGTGGATTGTTAAGATTGTCTCAGAAAACATATATTGAGAGAATTCTAGAGAGATTTGGTATGGAATATTGTTCAGCTAGTATTGTTCCAATACAGAAAGGGGATAAATTTAGTTTGATGCAATGCCCAAAGAATGAATTAGAACATAAAGAAATGCAAAATATTCCTTATGCATCTATTGCGGGAAGTTTGATATATGCACAGGTTTGCACTCGTCCAGATATTGGTTTTGCAGTTGGAATGCTAAGCAGATACCAAAGCAATCCAGGAATGTATCATTGGAAATCTGCAAAGAAAGTCATGAGATACTTACAAGGAACAAAGAATTATATGCTCATATTTAGAAGGACTGGTGATTTAGAGGTTATCGATTACTCAAACTCAGATTTTGCTGGATGTGTGGACAGTAAAAGATCCACTTTTGGTTATTTGTTCCTTTTAGCTAGAGGGACAATATCATGGAAAAACGCAAAATAGTCTATTATTGCTTCATCTACTATGGAGGCTGAGTTTGTAGCATGCTTTGAGGCTACAAATCATGGTTTGTGGTTGCGGAACTTTATTTCGGGATTTGGTGTTATGAATTCCATTTGCAGACCGCTGAAAATTTATTGTAATAATACCGCAGCTGTCTTCTTTACTAAAAATGATAAGTATTCCAATGACGTTAAGCATATGGAGCTGAAATATCTTACCGTTAAAGAAGAAGTTCAGAAACAACGAGTGTCTTTTGAAAATATAAGCACACAACTTATGGTTGCAGATCCATTAACAAAAGGATTACCACCCAAGACACTCATAGGGCATGTTAAAAGAATAGGTCTTGAATGTAATCAAAGTTAATTATTATTTTTTATTGTGGATTGCTTAACAATACTTATATATATTTGACATTTTGAACTCATTAAAATATGTTTCTGATATTTCCTGTTAATTTATGTATGTACATACATGTATTATTTTAAATGATGAAAACAGGAATAGTCTTAGAAAGACATTATTGCTAGACCTTTATTGATGTTTCTCACTTATAGACTATGTTAAATGGATTACTAGTGTTGTGGTACATGGAAGGGACTGTGTCATTTAGTGACATACAACCGGCATGACTCACATTAGTAGTTTGTTTACATTGGTATTTATGATGACCAACTTAATACCTTAATCTGATTTATGGTGCACACTAATGACTATTTTACTAAACCACTACAGAAATTATCATATGTGCCAAGTGAAAGAATGCAAGATTATTTATTTAATTGTGACCCACATGATTTGGACATGTGACATATTACTTGGTGGCTAAGTAAATAGATATCAATTAATATTATTTATTTTTGGTCAACTTATAATTACTTATTGGAGAAGTATTTTCCTTTCTTATTTCTTACTTTGATGGAAAGTAGAATTATGTTACTAAAAGAAAAACTGGTCTTCTCCTACCTTTATAAAAGTGCATATACTCCATCAATTATGGACGATTAAGGATACAACATGTAAAAGTTTTATGTGTGCAAAAGGCCAAAAGAGATAAACCAGTTTCCACCTTTACCTGTTGATCAGAATTGCAGATTAGTTTGTGGTTAAAGGATCTAGTCATTGGATTTAATCTCAACAAGGTTTGATATCATGAATCGAGGTATGTATATCTAACTATATATATTTTGCATTATAAGGATGTGAAATTAATTGAAGTTATCAGATTTAGGGATTTATGATTATTTGTGATTAAAGTCTAACACAAATTAATTAGAGTTACAGGAATATCACCCAAATACCGTCTTGTTATATTTTAGATAGATGGAGTAAATGTGAAAAAGATAGAAACATAGTCTTTGAGCTTGGTGAGTCATCTACAAATAAGAAATCATCACTGACAGTAGAAAGAAATACCTTGGTTCAACAATCATGTCGTGTTATAGATCATTTAGTTATGACAGATGAGGGAAAGAATGTGGCGAAAAAATATGTGCAGATGATGTGGGATGAACCTCAAAGATTTATGGAAAATAACAATCCAAGTAAAGAAAATGTTGATTGCAATCTAACCAAGGAGAGCTGTGAACAGTTGAAAGAAATGTGTATACTTGATCCCTCACATGTGAGGGAAAATGGTTTAACACATGCTCGGATAAAAAGTAATTTGGAAAAGAGGAAATGTAAGTAGCAAAAAGGTAAGAATTTGAAACTTGATTACTGTTATTGAAACATAAGTGCTGAAGCAATTTGGAAATGCTCACTGTTATTGAGCAAAGATATATAATATAATTGATTTTAATTATTTCTTATTGGAAAAAGAGGAACATAACCTTTCAAATGTTCATAAGATACTGTTGGTATGTCAAATGCTCCATTGGATACTGTTGTTCACAGGATACTGTTGGTATGTCATATGAAACATATAATTATCATTATCATTACACGAATTCTATATATCATCTTATCTTTTCATTTCGGACTGAAAAATATGAAAACACATACATTTATGTTTAAAGGGAAAATGCAAAGGCTTTAAATTGTTGGGGATTTTGGATATTTTTTATACAATCTCATTTTTAATTCCATTCACATAATCTTATCGAAATTCACTTTGACTAAAACACTTATATATTCATAACACAATTAATCGAAACAATATATATAGTATAAATAAAACAATATACTAAACTAATAGGCCAGTAAAATTATATAAATCAATAAGAGAAAAGTAAATAAACTTTTGGCCTGTATAAAGGAGAGGCACGCAGTTTGCGCTGTCCTAAAGCCTTTATAGCTTCCCTATGTGCAGGTTGCAACGACTATGAAAGGCTCCAAGATATAACTCTAATATCCTCCATAAGCACGTTCACAGAGTGACGATCGCCAAGTCTTGTAATGTCACGTTGTCCATAAAAGCAGATATATAATTAAATATATATAATATAGTATTCAGTTGAAGAACGAAGGAATGAGTTTTTTTTTTAGGAAAAGAAACAAGAGAAGTAAGAATACTATATTTGTTAGAATATTCTTACTATTTATAGATTACTATATGCGTATTCATGAAAGGACAAAAAACCCATTCAAACATTACGATTAAAGAAGTTTTAAAAACTTTAACAACTACTAACTACTTTATATATATATGTAGCATAAACAGCCCATCCATGATGTATGAGAGTGATACCAATATGAATGTAATTTCGAAATTGTCAAAATACTGGAGGATCACATGTGAGATCATCCATATATATGAGTGCATAATTAGACATGCACTATTTCCCTCCACTTATCACGTGAAGAAGAAGAAATACCACGTCTAAAAACGAACTGGACTCTAAATCGTCTATGTATAATTAATTCAGGCCCAATCCCAATCCAAAACTATTGATAGATAGAATTTCTTATGGGCCTAATCTGAAACATTTTTGGAAGCCCAATACTCTGTTTCTGGTGCATGAAGGATTTTTGGTTATATTATTAATTAATTTCAGAGGATAAACAAGACTAGTTTTCAAGAGAATTGGTGTTCACACTTCACAACACGTTTACGTTTGGTTTTGGTTCTTCTTTCTTTATAAATTATGCATAATATATATATATATATATATATATATATATATATATATATATATATATACATATTCTGTTTTCATAACGGTAGATTTGCGCATACCCCTATATATAGATTTCTTTAATTTATCTACAGCAGGTCTTCTACATTCTGCTGTTCAGTCAAGAACAAATGGACATAGTGTCTCTAATTATGATGGTTAGGTGTGTGAGAGAGTGTGTGCAAGATATTGGCCAGATGAAAAAGAAATGAAATTCAAATTAAAGTCACCATTGAATAAGATAAAAATGCATATCTATTAAATTTTAACAATTCCCTCAATATATGATAACAAAACAAAAGATGAGAAATTTTAAAATAACAAAGCTTTTTAATTAAATCCCATAATTATTTACTTTGATGTTTGCAGTTGCTCAAGTATATAAAACGTTTTTTTTCCCCTCCAATTGCATTGTTTAAAAGTGAATATATTATAGGATGTACCAAGGACAAGAGGAAATGTACGATTTTCAGTTGTTGGGTTGACATAGTTGAATATTAAAATTCTAAATTTCTTTTAGCAGTATAACTAGGCTGTTGATGTATTATTGGAGCCATGATATTATGGCGAGAACAATTTAATCAGGTTAGAGCAAGATTGGACGCGGTGTAACGGAATTGGGTCCGTATCGACATTACATGATGGAATCGGTTATCGCAATTGTAAATATTTTTTGTCTTCACACATGACATGAGCCAAAAATAATATTGCTGATATAATGCTTTTTACAATGCATTTCAATAAAAATAACTTTTAAGTGAGTTATAGTAATTTTATTAAAAGTTATAAAGATCATTTAACATAAATAATGATCAGATTCATGTGTTTTGTGAAGTTTCTCATGCATACATAGTGTTTATTCTATATAATTGTTTCATCCCATCTCACAATAATAAAATTTTAAACTTTTAGAACAACAAATGGATGCTATGAAGACTGATAGATATATTGTCCCACATCCAAACTTTTGATAAGAAAATGAGAAGAGAGCCGTATAAAAGCAACAAATGTACTGCTTGTTGGAAACCTTGCATCTGAAACTTTAGAGGAGGATGTGAGCAAGGTTACTTGTAAAAGCAGTACGACTGTAGAATCCAAATACACTAGTTAAAAGCTAGTTTAAAATCCAACTTAGGCCTGATAACCAAAAGGCCCATTTTAAAGTTTTAGTAAATTTATATAAGCCTAATTCAAGTGGGCCGGTTTGAAGTTGGATCTTTTACGTAAAAACACAGTCGGCTCTTTAGTGAATCCGTACCCACTCCAGTAAGGTTCTATTGAACTCGCCGATTTGTTAGCGAATCCGTAAATGGAACTAGCCACTCTAATTTTCGTTAAGAACTGGCCGGTTGGTTCGGCGATCCATGGGTTAGAATAGTGGTAAACAGTGGCTAGTCGTGAAACACAAAATATGCTAATTCTAATATAATTATACACACACACACGCGCGTATTTGCCCAATTGATACATTTGGAGGAATCAATGTTGGACTTATTGGATCCTTAGCCATTCATGCGAGGATTGGTCATTTGGGGTCTTTTGAAAGCAAGGGCGGATCCAGGATTGTTGATTGGGGTGGGCTAATTTAGGATTGGGCTAATTTTGGGTGGGCTAAATTTTTTTTTTTTTTTGGGCTGGGCTGAAAGTAGTATAGTTAAAAAAAAAAAAAAAAATTTTTGGGGTGGGCTGAAGCCCACCTCCGCCCACCCCTCCCTCCGCCCTTGTTTGAAAGTCCATTTTATGAAATATTTGAAAGATCAAAAAAGGCGGGTGCTTTATTTATCACCAGATATATGTATATATCTAAGTTATTTTGAATTAAAAAAATTTTTGGAAAATTAATTTTTAAATATATATATTTTATAAAAGGGTGATTTTTTAGAA